TGCATCCGCGGACTCCCCCCTTCAAATAATCCTGGATCCGCCTCTGCTCACCTTGCCTTATAATTGATTGGCAAGCACTGGCAATTTCACTGGGAAAGCCTGACAATGCAGTGGCCTTTCGTAGTTTGGCTGACACGTACGTAAGAGCAGTTCTGTAGGCAGGTTCTAACTATCAGCAGATTGACTAGTGTTTGACAGATACAGGGAAGAAACAATAAAAGGTGCTACTCGGACACGATTCACAAAGTCAGTGCTACCCATCAGACAAGACATCTGATTTGTCACATTCCCTGACCCTGAGAACATAGGTGTAGACACTTCATTTGTCATGTTTGCTTACCTAGTTACAGAGATACAGAAGTAAAACGGTTTTTCAGTAATGGCGATCCTAATTTGCATATTTAGGAAAATTGCGTAAATCTTATTTTAACAGAAACATCTTAATAATGTTCCTCGACCCTGAAAATATAGGTAAAGACACTTCATTTGTCATATTTGCCTGTCTTGTTCCAGAGATATTGCAGAAAATAAGAAATCTGGTGGCCATTTTGTTTTTTTGCAAATTAGCCCGTTAAAAACGCAAAATTTCGCTTGGGAACCGGGTTAATCGGAATCAGCATCCCAAAATTATGCTAATAAGCCTAGTTCCCAACTTTTACCCCAAAATGCCCCTTGCCTCTTATGCAGAGCCTTTTTTCAAAAATCTCACTAGACTATAATGTGTATTTGTTAAAGTTGGCACTGTGAAACTTAGGAAATACAGATCTTCTGTCTCTTCACTGCTAATGCCCCTCAAATTAAGGATCTGGCATACATGCCACCTTTCTCAAACTGTTATCTCATTTCTATCAGTGTGTGTCAGGTTTAAAGCTGAGAGAAAAAGAACTTGGATTTATATGGAAGGAATAATAGAAATGGAAAATTAGAGGTTCTTGATTTGTATAGATTGCCATATACACACTATGAGTGCTTTTCTATATATAGCTCTGTAAATAAATAAATAAATAAGCTTCTTTGTTTAGAAGCTGCTTTAATGGCTGAGAGATATTACTTAATGAAATTGAATAGGTTGCATATTTGACAGTTATAATAATCATAATTTGGAATATTTTGCTGGAAATATGTATTTGAGTGAAACTATGAATTATGTGAGAAGTAACCAAAGCAAGCAGAGAAGTACAGATTTTGCTTTTCTTTTGATTTTCAGGAAAAAATCACAGGACCTCACCATTCTATGGTACATTTACATATACATATACATATGTACTGTGATCTTTTCAGTTGGTTCACTTTTACATGTATCTGTCTCCATATTCCTTTCCCTATGATTTGGGTTTTGTTTGGAAATGTATGTGATTGATGCATAATTTTCACAATCAAGTTGGGACCAACCATCATGGGATTCACATTCTAGTAATACTTTCCCAATGATTATACATTGAAAATGACTAGTAATTGCTGGTTAAAAAGGATAGTTTCCACTAGAATCCTTTGAATCTCAGGGTAGGGACCAGATGGATGTGGAATGTCACTGTTTACAACAAGGACACTGGCAAATGTATTCTTTAGGACCCAATTCCCATAGACCACATTGCCCTATGTAGAGCAATCCAACTCTGCCTGGACTCTTGCTGAGTGCAATTAGCTTAATTGATTGACACACCTCCTCTTGTTTTCACCGTACTGGTATAATCACGAGCTTTTTGGTATTCTACATAATGCCAGGAAGAAGTGTGTCATTCAGTTAAGCTGATTGCTCAGTGAGAGTCCCTACAGAGTTAGATTGATCTACATCGACTGGTGGTGTCTATGGGAATAGGGCCTATGATGCATGTTTCAAGACTTTTTAAAGTCTGTTGAGTTTGAGTTGAACTCATTTTTTGATCTGGGAATCTTGTTTGGTTAACTTGCAAGCAACTCATACTTATCCAACAACAACAATGATTTAGGATGTAAGGTAGAAAACCCTGGTGGAAGACGGGTTGTGGCATGGTGGAAGAATTATTTCTTTCCGATAGTGTGTTGCAAAAATTTTCTTCAATTAGGCATAAGCAAGTAAATGTTAGTTTTTAAAATATCTAATTGCAAATATCTTTGTAAAGAATATATATGTAAAAACAGATTTATGAAGTTATTCAGATTGTAAGAGTGTAAAGCAAATATGAAAATCTTGATAATCTTATTGGTGCTAAAAAAAACTTTTTTAATGCAAACTTTTTTTACTAAAGCAAATTTTGTGTTATTGATTGAGGAATGATTAAATTGTGAATGATCATTTAAATTGTGTAATTTTCCTCTTTTCAAATCTTTTTTCTGCATGTCAGATGTCTTACTAGAATAATTTTCACTTTTATCTTAAGAGTCAACTTATTTGCCCCAATTTTCAGAGTCTAATGGAGACTATTTCTTGTTAGCACCATTTAATATGTCAATCTGGACTTAACATTTTTGTGAGCAAAACATCATCACAAAAATGAAGGTTTTTTTTTTTTTTTTTACTACTGGGCACCAATTTATACATAGCTTTTCTGATTGAACAGTATATTGGTCTGTCCCTGCGAGGCTCTGAAAATTACAATCTTTTTAAATTACAATGTACAGACTGTTATCAGAGAGAATTATTGAATGTGTTGTGCATTAATTCTAAACAGATCTGGATCCCAAAGATATTGTGGATTCCTAAAATATTATGGATGTTACAGCTTTTTTTTTCTTTTGGTTGATAAGGGTTAGCATGGTGCTTATGATGGCTGGACTTTGTTATATTTGAGGATGTACTGTTTTTTATTGCACATTTCTACAGATGAACAAAGAGATAATGAATTAAAAACATAAAAGTGATTAAAAAATTATGCTTACCTAAAGGGATCTGATTTGAGATTTCTCTTGTCATTTTAGATGCATAAGTAATGAAAGTTAACTTATTTCCTGTAAACTTTTTGGAATAAAGTTTATGTATTTTTTTTTTTTTCTTATTCTTTTCAGTGTGTTGATACCTGGAGACAGAGACCTGTGAATCTCGCTGCCCCAGAGCAACTTGAGGTAAGTCTGTCTGCCCATCGGTCAGTTTGTCTGTCTGTCTCTGTCTTACTGTCCATCTGTCAGTCTCTCTGTTTTTTTTTTTTTTTTTTTTTTTTTTTTTTAATATCTGCATGTTGCAACGTTTTGACCGAACAAACTTACCTCAAGTCAATGTAGAGTATTGTTAGTAACTAACTGTAAGTGAACATCAAATTTATAAAGTGCTATTCATTCATTTGAGTGGTGTTTGATCATTTTTGCTTTCTTGTGATTCATAGGTGGAAAAATTAGCAAAGTCCATAGAGAAGCCAAAAATAACATTGGATAACACACCTGTAAGTTGGAATACTTGATTGTATTGAATTTCATAGAATCAACTTCTTGATATCATGCATAAGTCTTTTCAGGCTGGAAAGATCGTTCTCTTACTTTCCAGTGGCCATCATGGCATAAGATTCAGAGAGTTTTTCAGTCATGTAGAGATTTTGCAAAAGTGTTAATTGCATGACTGTATTGAGTGAAGAAATTATTTCTGTAAATACCAGATGCCATTGTGTGTCCTTGCATATGTTGTAACTTAATAGTAACACAAATTGTGAAGATTGCCACTCCTAAGTTAGGTTTAAAAAAAAAAAACAACTTTTGAATTACCAGGCCTTTTGCCACGTTAAAGTAGAGAAATCTTACATTTATAATCTCAGTTTTATAGTCAAATATCCTGTTGCTAGGTGACAGTGGAGGAATATATAATGGAGATGGAGAGGACCCCAGGCAAGATTTACTATGCCCGCCTTGTGGTCCAGCAGCGATTGAGTGATGACTTTTACTTGGGGGAGCTCTATGTGGACCGAGACTTCACAGAGGGACAGAACAATGCTAGCTGCTGCAAGTTTTCTTTGGGAACAAAAGCCAATGTAGACAAGTAAGGAGGGATTGTGTCATTTTCTGTTGTCCTCTGGGATGTTTGCATTTTGTTTTTTCTTTTAGTCAGATATGTACTTTTTAACCATATGGATGAAAAGATGTAGAAAAATTGTTTTACCACTGATAATGGTATGCAGTTTTTGGAAAAATAGATCATATGTAAAAATTAAGAATTACAGTATGAGCAGTCAAAAGCGTGTTGTGAGCAATATTATTCATATCTTTAAAACCAACTAATTTCTGTGTAGATACATCCACCAGTTCACAGAGATCTTCACAGAAGAAGGACGGAGAGCAGTGAAGATCACCCACATCATCTCAGGTCAAGAACCCAAGGTCACCTTCACCCAGTCATCATCACAGTCATCAGGACAGTCCAGTGTCACCACTACAACACAGGCATTGTTGACACAGGCAACGTCTCTGGCACAGAACATCCTAGGGCAGGTGAGAGTGTCTGGTGACCTTCAGAAATTTTAAGATACCTGTTCTTTGTCACCACAAGGTACACTTTAGTGACAAGAATTACTGAACCCTAGCATCAGATGATATTTGAATATTTCTGTGGTCCTGAAAAGAAAAACTGTTGGTTAATTAAATGCTGGAGATTGAAGCAAAGTCCTAGTATCATAATAATGATAAAATACTGGGATAGCTTTATGTTTGTCAGGAATTTCCAGTATTTACTGTTATTATGACAAACTTAGCCTGTTTGTCTCAAACAGTATACTTGTTGAGATAGAATTGACAATGAATAATTATTGTTCTCTTTTTCTTATTCAAATTTTATTCTCAGAGATTGATACTGTCAGGTATTAGTACATTAACAAAATCATTGATAACCACTTATATTCTGTCTAATAGGCTGACCCTAGTCAGTCAGCAGATGGCAGCACTAAACAGCCAATGAAACTGTCTCTACAGCTCAATGCCCCAGGGTCCATATCATCAGCTGGATTGCTGGGTTCTCCCTCTGGAATGCAGAGTATGTCAAGAGCTTGTTGATGTCATTTTATAAATCTACAGGTTCATCCTCCAGATTGTCAGTTATTTAATAAACTGGGTGACTTTTTTAATTAGAAAAAAAGGCATTGAAGGTTGAGCGTATGAAAAATTTTAATATCAAGGTTTTTAATTATTAAGTTCTTAGATCTATAGAAAACCTGATTTTATTTAGTCATGCATCAGACTTGATAAAATTTTTACTGAGACACCTTGACTTCAGGGTTTTGTATGATCATTGCTTAATTCTTCCAGGTCCAGTAGGTATAAATTCTGTTGGTCTCCAGCCTGGCAACCTTCAGCAAACTTCAAACAGCAACCATAGACCCAAACATATGAATCTCTACTCCAATATTTCAAGGTAAATTAACATACCTGAAAGACTGAATGACAGATATGGTATAGCTCTGAAACATTTCATTTTGATTTTGAGTTTGATAAAAAAAACACATGAGAACAGGTGAGAATATGATAAATTTCACTTTTTCGAGACAAAAGCACATATTTTGATATATTTTTATTGGTACCTTTGATAACCTTATTATATAAACCGTGCAACTTAAACATTTATCTCTAGATCAAGTAGTACACCCAGTCCAGTGTCTACACCTACGTCTGCTTCAGGTAAGATTTCTTTATGTAAGCAGTTTGTAGAAACAGATTTATTTTTGCAAATCTCAAAAATTTGTAGTAGAAAATTTAAATGTGTACTTGTTCTTAAAAATAATTTATCTATATAACAGAGGATGTTTAATTGTGAATTTGATACAGTTGTTGGAAGTTTTAAGTAAATTTATTTTGCATTTATAAGGTTATATTTGTGAAATTGATGTTTGCATTTTTAACAACTTCAAATCATGTTTTATTTTCCATCTTTATACTTCAACCAATATTAGAGGTACGTTATCATCCTTTCAGCCCCCTTGCCTGGTCACCACATTTCCTCCACAAGGGAGCGCCATGGGTCATCAAGAGAGCCCAACCCCACACCTCCCCCTCCCACAGGACGGGCCCCCACACCTAACTCCTCAAGCTCCAGGCGCTCATCTCTCACAGACAGTGGGGGCAGTCTCAGTGGACAGATGACTCTGCAGGCCTTCCAGCAGGGGTCAAATATTGCACACTTCATGCAGGGTGAGCACTTCTATACTGTATTGAAATATATTGAAATATATCCTGTAGTTACTTTTGTTACCGTGTTTTAAGGCTATTCTAAAATATATATCTCTCTTTCTATTTAAGAACTAAAGTTTATCACGGTGACTGCTTTATGTCAGATCATCATCATCATTTCCTGTCCAATTAACCTTGGTTCTTGTGTTCTATTTCAGCCACAGGCAACAGCCTCCAGTCGTCCGGTTCTGCTCCTCCCACTCCAGTGGACACGCCCACCACACCCACGCCTCTAGCTGGTCAGTGCTCAGATGCAGAGTAACTTATTTTTAATGATCACAGCATCCTGTGCCCTGAGCATGTGTTCATAGACAGACATTTTTGCAAAATTTAATGCAGGTCATGTTCCCAGCTCCTTTTATTAGCGGACATGATTTTTACTGAAATGAATATATTTTTTAAACATCAGGGGGTTTCATGATAGTTTTATGCTATGCATTGATATATGTTCCAATTTCCAGGTCTTGAGGCCCCAGCAATGAGCAGTTCAGCCCCTACACCCACTGCATCTGCTCCAAACATCAACATTGCCAATGTGGCTGGCCTGCCACAGAACATCAGCATACAGAGCCTGGCCAATCTGCAGGGTATGGGGCTGACCAATATACAGGGACTACAAGGACTGCAGAATATGCAGGTTTGTGTGTGGGAGAGGCAGAATGTTGAGGTTGACAAAATGTTTTTCAGTCATTATTTATTTATTTATTGCCATTGTGGACTTATAGATTATTAAGTGTAGTTTATGCAGAAGGAAAGATTGAGCCTAAATTTCTAAATGTTATAGTTTAAGTACTTACTTTAAAAACTTAATTGATGGGGAAAGAAATGGAAGGCTAAATTTGGCATGTGAAAGAACAGTTATAGGTTAACATGGCGTCCATGGCATTTTTTTCCCAGGATCAATTATCTGGTATCTTTGCCCTTCCAGGTATCTTTGACAGGTGTTTGTTTGCTGAAAGCTGGTATTGCCATGCACTTATCAATTATCTGATATTTTTTCCAGGTATCTTTGACAGGTATTTCTTTGCTACAAGCTGGCATTGCCATCCCGGTATCAAATATCTGATATTTTTTTTTGGTAGGTATTGCTATCCCTATTTCGGTTATCTGTCTTTTTTTTCCTTTCAGGTATCTCTGACAGGTGTTTCTATGCCAGGAGGTGGTATTGCTGTCCCAGTTCCTATCACAATGATCAGCAGCACCAACCCGTCCACACAGTTATTGAGTACACCAGCTGGCATAGTGTTCAGCTCTGTGGCTGGTCTGCAGGGCATCACCACAGCAGGGAACAATACGGGAACCTCCTCCACCACAACACAAGTATGTCAGCTGTGTAGGATAATATATCAGACTGGTTGACTGTTTAGAGATGGACTGATTCTCAGTTTGAAACCTCTGTGGCCATCATAAATATGTTTCCTTATTTGTGTTAAGGATTATTGCTATCATTTACTTGTGAGGGTCAGCATAGAAAATTGTTTTAAGCTTATTGGTAAGGACGGTCCCAGCTCTTTTTGCAAAGCTTAGAAGAATAATGTTCTAATATTAAGATCAGAGATGATTTTTCCTTGTAAAGGAGCTTCCAGAATGTCCTCATGAAAATTGAAAGAGTTTTAAGCAAGTTCAGCATTTAAAGTATATACATAAAAATCACAATCTTTGAAAACTGTAGCAGTGTTTAATTTCATGTTATCTAGGCTGGTAATACTACATTGGTAACCATGGTAACATCTATGCCCCAGACAACATCAGCTCCAACCACTGCTACAAGTGGAACTCCATCCTCTATAGTTATGACAACAAGTGAGTAGTCCTTGTCTCTATAACTTGAATTTATAACATATGCTGTAGGAAAAGAATTCTACCTCCTATGAGATTAAGTCTTTACCTGTTTAATATTTTTGTTGCTATTTATAGAAAAAAAATCTAATTTTGCTTACAAAAGTTAAGATTTGCCTTTTATTTGTTTAGTCCTTGTAATTTGTTTTAATTTTTATGTTTTGCTTATTTTTGGACATGTTTACATGCTTTTGCTTAAGTCCATAATTATATAAATAATTATTTGGAAAGTACAAGAGGCATTTCTAGTGAGAAATCTGAGCTACGAGTGCTACTCATGTTGGTAAATCCACCATTTTTCTAAAGGCATACAAATTAGATTTTACAACATCATCAAGGTATAAATGCCTGTTTCCATTTCCTCAGATGTTCTGACCAACACTGCCCAAGTCCTGAACCAGGGTATGCTGTCTGTTCCTATAGGCATGGCTGGGAACCTGGCCCAGTTCATGACTGCTGCTGGAATCAAGGGAACATCTCAACAAATCAGACCAGGCTCTCAGTTGTCATTGCTACAGGTAGGGTTTTACATCCAGGAGACTGTTTCAAAAATGGTAGAAAATAACGAGGTGAAAACAACTGCGCCAGTCCCTTCATGTTTTTTTTCAGCACTGCTTATTCTTGTTTTCCAGATTCCAGGGCAGCAGCCCATTCAGATCCTCGGCACCAACCTTCCTGGTCAGCGGACCCAAGTGCAGCCATTACAGCAAGGCACTGTGGGAAGGACAATATCGGGCAATGGATCTCCACTAGCAGCAGGATCTAGTGGTAAGCAGGCATGCGTAGAGAATAGACTGGTACTGTTTGTAAAGTTAATTAACATCTAATTTGAAGGTATTCATTATTATTGAAAAAATAACTTCTGATGTTCAAATATATATTACAAGTCTCACCAGTTTGCATAGGCCTAGGAAAAATAAATGAATGATGAAATATCAAGTTCATTTTAGTAATTTTAATCCTGAGTTACATTAATGAAATTATATCTTTATTATCCAATTTTCAGGTGTGTTATCCCCCTCCAACCTCACATCTACTCCAGCAGTGACCGCTTTGTCACAGTTGACATCAGCAGTAAGGGGAGGAGGCCAGCCACAGACCATAACAGCACAACAACTGATGCAACTAACACCACAACAGCAACAACAGTTACAACAGCAGCAACAACAACAGCAGCAGCAGTTGCAATTCTTACAGAAACACCAACCCCAACTGCAACAGTTTCAGTTACAGCAGCTAAAACAGCAGCCTGGTAATCAGGGGCATCCATCGCAGCGAACACTCATGTCATCCATGCCCAGTTCGAAGGGAAAGAAAAGGACAACACCAACCCCTCCAAAGTGACGGTCTTAAAGTTTCCGTTTTACTGACACCAAGTCACTCATTTCCGTCTTTTTCATGTTTAAAGAAATTCTCATATCCATGACTTCCAGAATGACACTTTTATAGTACATTTTGATAGTCACAAAGAATTGGAATTGGGCAGCTTCCATGCCTGCACACACAATTAAACACACACACACAGATATATAAATTAAAATGTATTTAGGGAGATGGTATCTTCATAAAATACCAATGGGCAGATATATTACTTTTATTAGAATAAAAGTGAAAAACAAAAGATTGTCCAATCCAGTTTTATACGAATGAAACACACTGGTTTTAATAGAGTCTTTAGTATTTGTGTAGCAAACTTTGGAACTCTTAGAGCTTTCATCTCTGTAACTTTGTGTTTGTAATAGGACCAAAATAATATTTAGGTGGTCAGTTTCATGCACAAACGTATTTTCTTGACTGTTTGTCACTTAAGTAGCGAATGACAAACAATGAGTATTGATGGTGCCAGTTCATGGTCAACACCCTAAATCTCTTTGATCAGCTTATTTCTTGAAAAAGGTCGAAAGGTGTTGATGATTAAGGTTGTTATTTTCACCAAACTTGGGGACCTTGGCTGATGAGCAAAACAATCGTGACAAAAGATTATGTTTGTGGTATGCAACACCATGGGAACAACTATCAGTTCTATTGCCCAGAAAGGGTGTTACAATTAGCTGTCTTCTTTATAGACTTCAGGCAAAAACACTTAATTGTTGAAATTATTCTGAACACTGTTCTATTCTTATTTTGATAATATCGTGATCTTGAGTGAACGTCTTTATTTTAAAAGGATGAACTGCTTGGCATCATCCGTGATTTTATTTCTTGGGTTGAACCCATAATTGCACGTCTTACCTGTAATTATAGAGGTAGAAATAGCTGCAGTTTTATATATTAGCCTGTCTTTTCATTTTTATATTGCTAAATACATTTGGTCATAGTTGTAAAAAACGATTTTGTATATTACATTTAATACCCATTGGTGGTGAATGTAGATGGAGAGAGAAAAACTGGCTGATAACCTTGTTATCGCTTCAAATTGAGAATAAAGTATGTTGCAAATTTAACTTCATTGGGAATGGAACGCACTGGTGATTTGTTTACTTTCGTCATTGATTAATGGAGCATCTTTATCAGTAGTCCAGTCTCTTTCGGAATGACAATTTATGTTACATTTTGATTGTCAGACTCGGAATTGCGTAGCTCCCATGCCTTCACGCGCACACGTGTATATATCGAGTAATTAAATCGAGGCGATATGATTTGCTCTTGTATGTCGCATATATACAGTTGACGACGAGTACTGGTAGCTGTAACTGACTTATTCCACGGCTGGCGCTTCCAACAAATAGGATGAACGCGCCGAAGTGTATGAAAATACAGGCGTGCTTGTAAGCGAAATACAAGTGCAATTATCTTATTGTTCGAAGTGTCTGTCGTACGTGGGATAATTGATTAAATCGGTTACAACTGCTCTGCGTCCTCTGTATGCGACAGGCAAGAGCAAATTCTTTCGCGGCTGCGCCTCGTTATACACATAAGCCTCTCTTACAACCCGTCGTGCGTGCTTAGAGATCGTGCGTCCTCGGAGTTCTTGTCAGACGTAGCGTTGTCGCAGGATGAAAATTACATCGCAGCGGACGAAGTAATAAGTACTTTAGAAGTAGGTGTGTCGTGCTCTAAACGTGGGACCCGCAAGTGGTCTGTACGCCCTTTTTTGGAAGTAGAAAGAAGTAAGGAGCACGTACGATCTGTACTTGTGTCGCACACAGTGAGTGAGATAATCATACGTGTATTGCAAGTGAAGCGTACGTTTTCAGAAATCGTACTTACGAAGTAAGAGAAACGTAAGAGAAACGTAATAAGCACGGAAGTGGAACGCACGGATAATATAATAAATAATAATATATAATAAATAATATAAAGGGAGCACCGAGTATCTTCATCATTCACTGTTTTGGCTTCCAAAATGGCACTTCCAAGAAGGATGCGCCATCGACTTCTACAGCTACTAATGCTAGAGGAGACCGAAGATCACGACGCAATGCTTGCAGTGGTTGTTTGAGATCGCCTGCACTTTTATCGTGCTGGGCACGTGCGTCGTCTTAGTGTGACGCACTTCACAAGTATGGTAGTAGTACTCGCCACGCACTTTGGAAGTAAGATAAACGCACGGAGGAAGCGCACTCACCCCCCCTTTTTGTTAAAACGTACATTGAAAGCAAGTTGAACGTACGAGTCTCTTGCGTGGTAAGTACGTCTTCGTGGTAAAATACCCCGGAATTTCTGCATGCTTTTCCTGCGTTACACGCACGCCTAGCGCACTTACTCAGTACTTTAGTCTTGCGTGCTACGAGCGTGCTCCAGGCAGACAGGTCGTAGCGAAAACTGGCCGGTCAGTTTTCGGGCTGCGTGCTTTGCGTCGTGTTTGCGTCCACAAAAAAAAAAGTACGTTCCACGTGCGTGTATCTTACTACTTGGCCAATTTTTTGCACGCAAACCGCTCGTAGAAGCACGCACGACCGGTTGTAAGAGTAGCTATAATTACGCTCCTGTGTGTCGAATACAGAGGACGACTCGTGATGTAACTAGTCCTTATATGCATAAATATTCACTGGCCAGTAGCAGAGCCTCATGGCAAATTCGTCATCATGCCTAAACCTCAAATGAAAAATGTAATTTTTTTAAAATTATCTTTCACACATGTCTTCCAGTGATTGCTTTTAATGCAGGCCATTAATAGTTAAAAGAGTCTTGCTTTAAATATTACTTGAAATATGCAGGTATAATTGCTTTATTGCATGTTTACAGAGCCATCTGTGCAAGTTGTAGAAGAGAGTGTTTCTATTCAACGTGGCAGTTTCCAGGACTACCTTTTCTGTCCTGGCAAGGAACACATTTACGCAACTGATGAAAGCTGCCAGAATACTTGTTGGATTGACGATATGTGGTGCCATCTTGTACTGGTGGACGATCATATTCACAGGTAATTATGACGGGCGGATGTGACATAAAGCATTTCCATTTACTTTTGTTGTTCCAGAGATAATTGTTCCGTGAATTCAGTAACTGATTTCATGAACGCAACACCGGGCAATTCAGATTTTATTTCAGAAGTGTAGGCTTCTTATTCCCATAAAATAATACCTACATGTACCTACATATATGAAGTATAACGATGTTAGGCACATTTAAGCAGCTCTCTTCACTATAGGCCTATTGAGGTGTTTTATTTTTGAATGGTGCCCTCTTGTTAGGTAAAGCCTGGTAGAGTCTGATTAATTTTCTAACAGCTGTATCCACTTGAAAGTTTGTACATTTCAATCATCACCATTTAGTCTCCCGTAGGCCAATTCTAGAAATTTGATTTTTTTTTTTCAGTTTTTCTTGTTTTGGCAGTTTGCGCAATCCCGGTAAAATTTTGTTGCTCAACGTTACACGTTGTCAGTGGCTATTACATGTTTCTTTAATTAAGGAGAACAGATCTGGTTTGCAAATTCTATATGTTGACGAACTATAGTAACTTAACCTGGCGACAAGCACAATGCTTCTTTTGGGCCTTATGTAATAGGCCCCTATTGCATCAAAATTGACAAAATATCCTGTGTCGTCATCATTATTCTCTGCTTTATATATGTACATTTGACACCTTTGCTGCCTTATTAATTTAAAGAATATCCATGTTTGAAAATTAAAAGCTACGATGGTAATTGATAAATGCTACTATTACGACTGATCTGTATACACGTGCGGGTACTTTTATTTCAGCAAAACATGGAAATTCACTAAACCATACCAGTAGTCCATATATTCCACATGCAGAGCGTGATACCATAGGTCAACGGATATGGGAGGTATTTCTATAATATTTAAAGGGATAACAACTCTATTAATATGAGATTCAAAGTTCGACAATAAATACATTTTAAACATCAGAAATAAAATAAATTCCATTTTACCACCAAAAACGGCGCTTATCTCGATTATTCTGAAATCTGTGCTTGCCCTTTGACCACGTGGATCTTCATATATGGCTACCCGCCGTAGTAATCTTTCAAAGGACTATTACAAAACACACACACACACACACACACACACACACACACACAAGAAAAAAAACAATCGACTAACATTCAATTTCGGAACGGATTCATAAACCATTGGTACTTATGGGAACATCGACATTAACCCCAAGAAAATCTGTTTTATGGCACTTTGGCACTAAAATGATGAGCTGTTACCCCTTTAATTGATATGGTATATTGTTTGTACGGAGATGTCTGTCACTGAGAGTCTAATTAATTGGCAATTCTTTATTGTCGATAGAAATATAACTCAATAAACATGAACTCTTAGTAAAGTGGTAATATTACATTGACCTGACCAGCGGGTTTTAAAAATAAAAAAATATTTACACTGCCTACATATGTGTACATACGTAGTTATTCCGGCTGTCTTTAAATGTTTTAACTGTGCCTTTTTTCAATTTTTAATGTCATCTTCCATTTGATGTGTTTTGAAATTCAAATAATCTATACATGTTGGCATAGGTCTCTCGTGCTGACAAAGAAATGGCTGAAATGGCACTCTCTTTGATCTTTTTTCAGAACTTTAACTGGCAAAATGTTTCGGGAGAATGGGTGTCCATCATAAACAAAAGGAACCACATGATGCAAGACAGATGCGGCAGTCTCAAAAAGGCACCCTCAGGTCGTCTTGAACGTAGAAGATGGATTCTTGTAGATGATCGTAACAAGTTTATTTTATGTCCACTGTTCAAAGCAGCCAGTCGCAACTGGCGACTTGTGTATCAGGTTATCTCTGGACATCTTAATATATCTGGTGAACAAGATATTTTCAATCGTCGACCAGATGGTTTCGCGTATACCCGACTGGATTCTTACGATGATATTAACATCAAGAAGAGATTAGCGACGTATCTCAAAGTTCTGGTCGTGCGTCACCCAATGGAGAGGATTATATCAGCGTACAAGGATCAAGTGCTGGGTCTGCTAGGTCCACAAATAAAACTGTATCTGAACAAACATTACCCAAAACAAATTGAACATAAAATCGGGTTCGCAGATTTTCTTCGGTTTATAGTGGATAAGAAAGCAACAAATAGCCACTGGGCATTGGTCCAAGACTTCTGTTTGCCGTGCCATGTAATGTACGATGTTATCGTCCATCATGAAGACCTTGACACTGACGCCATGAATGTAATACGATTGCTTGGTGTTGAAGACATCGTACCACAATTTCCGTCTTCACATTTTACGAGTAATAACCCCAATCAGTCTCTTATATATACATATTACAATAGTATTGACAGAAAACTGGTGGAAAAAGTATGGAAAATTTACAAAGAAGATGCGAGCTTCTTTGGGTACACGCTGGAACTTTAATGTGCAACTCGAAAGTGGGTTTCGTGCTGTGTTGTATAATACTACAACTTAGTAATTGAATAAATTTTAACTTTTTAAAGTGATAGAATATTTCTTTATTTCTGTCTTGAAAATTTTGTTGGGGGTCCTTATCCCGACCACTAATTACAAAAGTAATTAAGATAAATGATTAAGATATAGAAAAATATGATCACGCATTATTTTACANCCCCCCCCCCCCCTCTCCCCTTAAAATCTAAAAACATACATAAATTGAACAGAATGATGGGCGGTCATTCTTCCCCTCCACACACACGATACCCCCCCCACCCGGCCCTTGTTACTTGTTATCAATGCACATGCGTACTAAACCGGAACACGTGCGTTCGGACTGATTTGTTTTCATAGCGTGATACATGTACTGCGCAAATCAAAACATATACTTGAAAGCTGCGATTTTTTCAACAAGGTAAGGTGCCATTTAAGCACTAAGAACCTTAACCGACTATCTTTTTAAAGTTTGTTTATAATTTTGTAGCCGACATAGGACCCGGCGACTAAGGTCACCGAGTGCGTCTGTTTAGTAAAGAGGGTCGCATTGGGTACTTTCGTTACCCGTGAAAGCCACTTTATTTTGTCTCAGTTTTCGGCCTTACATGCTACGCAAGATATTTTCACAAAATAGAAGACAATTAAGGGAACCTGAAATGATTGCTTTGTCATTTCCACAGGTTTTAACTGTTTATTGCTGGAACATAACGCATAACGTAATGTTATTTCTATCAGGCCTAAAAGAAACAGCAATGTTTTAGTGGACAGGTATAAAACAAAACATTATTTCAGATGCCAGTCCTGCGATTTTATCGTACTCCCTGCCAGAGCGGCGATGATGTCAGTGCAACCAAGAAAGTGTCCTCTCTACTGCCAGCGGTCTCAGTGGACTCTGTGAAGACTGAGTTTTGTCTGTACGTGGAAGTTGTAGATGAAAAGGGTAGGGAATATATACACTGTATAATAAATAACCTTTCTGATTTATTTATTTATTTTTTTATATTAAGAGGTTTGTTATTTATTTTATTGATACAGATTGAAACTTTTGTATTTAAGTTTTTAAAATATTTATAAAATTTATTTTATGTGGAATATTTTTTTCCAAAAATTACAGCCTATCTGATTATCTAAGAGGTTTACTATATCAAATAAATTATTAGGTTTATCAATTATTAACTGATTGAAAATTCTTTCTATTTGAGTTTCAGCTGTTGACTCAGAATAGTTTATAATGTTTAAAATATTTTCTAATTATTTTCAGTTTTGACTAAGGCAGACAGAGCAAAGTTAGAATGGATACTGTCTACCCCATTTGAGCAAGATAAGCTGGCCTCCTTGAGCTATCTGCCAGATATCCATGACACAGAGGGAGAATTTCTTATTGAGATAGGACCAAGGTAGGGCTGGTATATAGCACTAGTACGTGTTACGTAAGTTTGTTATTTGTGTCTTGATTTATTTTGGTACTGATGCATTATTTTTACAATGACCATCACCCAACAATAGAATGTGCAAATAATATATGCTATGAACAATATGAAGATAATGATTAAATTGATGATATAAACCATCGTATTTTCAAGACAGAGGATGGGAAATATTCATTGAAATAAGGTCTTGATTTCTATGTATACCTCTGTAGCATATATGGCATTTAATATTTAAATATATCGGGTATACTCTCAAAGACCATGCAAGAAAATGGCATTTATTGTGGTTGGCAAAGCTGGAGCAGTTAAAAGTATTGTTCATTTGTGTTCAACATCATTTTGTTTCAAACATATTTCTAGATAATTACACAGAGGAAATTTATTAATATTCCAGGCTGAATTTTTCCACAGCTTTCTCTACCAATGCTGTATCAATGTGCCACTCGGTGGGACTTGCAGACATCACACGTATAGAATACTCAACAATATATTACATCAAAATTGACACATCTAAAGCTGGTGGTGACACCCCCTTAAAAACAGCAGATGTGGAAAGTACCCTCGTGGAAGGACTTCATGATCCCATGACACAGTGTCGGTATTTATCACCAATCAGCTGTTTCGATTTACAGGTAATATATAATTAATTGTTTTTTCCTAGAATTTGTTTTGATTGCTTTCCTTACTTTTTTGCCTATGTCTCTTCATTTTTTTTTTTCTGCATGGTGATCTAGAGTGAATGTTTGTGTCTAAGTAGTATAGTCATGACTTATTAATCGCACATAATTAAATTAGGACAAAGAACACATTTTCCTGCAGAACAATATCATTGAAACTATGTTTGCGCATTAAACGTTTAGTGATGCTGAACTGCAATAAATTCTTTGATCATCATTTCTTATGATTTTAAGATTGATTTATGACATAAATATTACATTAAATGCACAGGTTAAGCCAGAGACAGTATATGAAGTGGATGTCATTGGAGAAGGCCAAGCAGCATTAGAAAAAGTTAATTCAGATTTAGGTAGGGCACTGTGTGAGACAAATTCTTATTCAAGGCACACGCTGCATGGTGCAATTTTATATAGCAAAACTGAAAGTAACTAGATGGGGTCTGTGGGTAGCCATTGCATATCTCTGCACTTTGCCAGGCTGTGAAGAGTAGCTTACTCCCAGGGACCCCATTCCCTAGATAGCCATGCCATTGCCTGTGATTTGATTATAGAAATTGAAAATAAAATTAATGTCATGTCAGCAATAAAGGAAAGCTGTCTTTACACATGGATATTTAAAAGTATCAACTTAAAATTATTTAAAAAGTAGATTCCCCCTCCCCCCCCCCTCGATGCAGCCCTGCAGCCAGGTGTATTAAAATTATGGACATGCACATTCTTAATGAAAGGTCTACCAATCCCCAAAGTTACACTTTATTGCAATAATGGTCTAGGATGGACAGATGGGTTGGATAACATTTTCCTTGATTTTTTTTCAGAAAAGTGCATAGTTAATAAATTGGAAATATTAGAAATTCTCCCTTATCACTATGGTATACCCTAACCATAACCATTGACTGAGGAAATTTTGTACTATAAACCAGCTCTTAAATTTTTCACTGTCACAAGTTATTTCACCTGACTCCAACTCCATTATGAGAGAGACTCGTAAAGAAGAATCTTAGTTCTTGAAACTGTAGTGTATGGATAAAAAATCTGTGAACAGTTTGGGATATGGTATAATTGGTGATTAACAAAAAAAAAAGCAAAAATTTCTAGGAAATTTTAATTATTAGCTGTATGAAGTACTGCATTGCATGCCTATTAAAAATTTTTGATTTAATGCATATAGTCTATTGATATTTGGCAAGAGACTATGGTCATGTTTCCAGCCAAGTTGAGTCAATCTAACTCTGTAGGACCAATATGATACAGTAGATATTGACTCTATTGTTAGTAGTGTTTCTGCAGGTCTTGCCTTTGATGCCTGGGACCTGGACTATTATACTAAATTGTTCAAAGAAGAAGTAAAACGTAACCCCACCAATGTAGAATGCTTTGACTTGGCTCAATCAAACAGGTAAACTAGATTAGACTAGAAGCATAGAGATGTTAACATATAAGTCTTAGAATTGTATTACTTTTTAATTGGATTTTTTAAAGCATTGAATGTAAAATATGTCAATCTGCCACTCTGACACAAGTACAACATTTTCTTTTGCTTTGTAAACTTTTTCTGGTTCATTATCTCACACAAATGTTGGCCTTATTCTGTTGCAGAGTTACTGATAAACCTTTTCATTGTTGTTTCTATGGTTTTGGTAAATGTAAATAAACCATATATATGAGACATGAGCTTTTTCTGCGGAAACGCAGAATGTTTTTAAATTCAATTCTGATGGTTCCTGAGATTCGTCTACCGGTAGATCTGCAATAAAATCTGTTCAGAGGGTTATTTTAAATCTAGGCTCATGTCTGATATATTGGATCAGCTGATTGTAAGACAGAGTGTCCAGTAATTAGATATAAATCTGTGTTGCAGTGAGCACTGCCGTCATTGGTTCTTCAAGGGAAGAATTGTGGTCGATGGTCAGGAATGTTCCGACTCCCTGTTCTCCATGATTATGAAGACACAAGAGCAGTCCAACCCTAACAATGTTATCAAGTTCAATGACAACAGCAGGTCAGTAATGCATTTATTATTATTATTATTTATTTTTTTTGCAGACTCACATTGTTTCAATTTCATTTTCTAAATGCACCTGTCACAACCAATAATAATATTGTACTTAACTTGTTTACTTGTTTTTTTTTTTTTTTGCATCATTTCATATTACATGTTACTGTATACAAAATAAATGAATAGATAAAATAATGCTTGAGTAATGCTAACTTAATTGAGTTATTTTTTGTCAAAGTGATTACTTAAGATGCGCATGCTTATCTATGAACAAACATGCTATGATATATGCTGGATAACGGTATTTTTTAATGTATTTTAATACAAATTGAAAATTAATTTATATTTATATATACATCAGGAGCATTTTGTCAGTTCCTGTACTTAAAACTATTGAAGACATATGTGCACTTACTATTTACTGTTTGTACTCTCATAACAGTTCACCTTTTCTTTGCTGTTAACAGTGCCATCAAGGGGTTCCCAGTGCACCTTGTGTACCCTGAAGAAACCAGTGTACCCAGCAGATTTGTAGCCAAAGATGATATAACCAGACATATCTTACTCACTGCAGAGACACACAACTTCCCCACAGGTAAACTTACAGGCAGAAAGACAGACATGAATGAGACATGAATGTGGCTAAATAGAAGTGTGGGTAATTTTTTTGTAGATGATAGATGAATTCCCCAAATATGCACCTTTTTGGCCAAAAGATTGATTTAAGACATATCATCTAAAAAAAAACTTCGAATCTATTGGTGAAGAAGAGAGAGAGAGAGAGAGAGAGAGAGAGAAGGACAGAAAATACTATCACTGCCATATTCAAATATTTCTCTCCAACTTTTAAAATGCCACCACAGTTGAACTTTTTAAAACGTGTAATCAAAGGACAAAATCTGCTTGCAATTTATAATTATTAAGATATGAACCATATACATATATCTTCTTATTTGCATCAGGTGTGGCTCCTTTTCCTGGTGCTACAACAGGCACAGGAGGCAGAATCCGGGATGTGCACAGCACTGGAACAGGTGCTCATGTAGTGGCTGGCACAGCTGGTTACTGCTTTGGGAACCTCAGAATACCAGGTGAGTGAAAGATGATATAGATACGAAAAACATATTGTATGGTATACAGTCCTGAAAATATCAGATATATTCAGGTCTACACCTTTGATAATTTATAAGGATTAAGCAGTAAACACACAAAAAAAATTATCATAAATTTCAGTGGATAAAAAAGTAAAAAATTCTAAATTTAATTTTGCCTTTGTGAATTTTTGAAAAAAATTTGAATTTATATCAGTCTACTAGATATGTACACAGCTGATAATTGCGCAGAAGTGTAAAATAGCAAAAACTACAGTTTTGAGACATGTAATGTTACAATTATTTAATTTTTTTAATATGTATCCTTTGCCCAGGTTATTCCCAGCCCTGGGAGGATGACTCCTTCATCTATCCAAATAACTTTGCCAAGCCATTACATATTGCCATAGAGGCTAGCAATGGGGCCTCAGACTATGGGAACAAGTTTGGCGAGCCGCTGCTGGCTGGGTTTGCCAGGTCCTGTGGACTGATGTTGCCAGGTGGTGAGAGACGGGAGTGGATTAAACCTGTCATGTTCAGTGGAGGATTGGGTAGTCTGGATCACATACATGTCAGCAAGGAGGAAGCAAAACCTGGTACATGAACCCCCAGTGATAAATTTATTGAATCATATAAATGATTTGAAATAAGATGTTTGCGAACACCCTGATAAACTGTATTAAGTTTAGTTTCATTCATAATTTTTAGCAAATCATAAAGTAAATACATCTCTTCATGTCATTCTGTTTTTGTTACTTTAAAATGTCAAGATTTATAAATTATAACCATTAAATGTTGAATTTGATATTGTTTCCATTTTTCAAGAGTAAAAAAAAAAATTATTGATTTCTAGGCATGGAGGTTGTTAAGGTTGGAGGGCCTGTGTATCGTATTGGTGTTGGAGGTGGGGCAGCCTCATCCATACAAGTCCAGGGTGACAACACATCCGAGTTGGACTTTGGTGCTGTGCAAAGAGGGGATGCAGAGATGGAACAGAAAGTCAATAGGGTCATACGGGCATGTATAGAACGAGGCACGGAAAATCCCATAAGAAGTATACATGACCAGGGAGCAGGGGGAAATGGTAAGTGTTAGGAGTATGTAAAAGTAAGTGTATCCACAATGTTTTCCCTAGAAAGAGGAAATTTTTTAGACTTTTATTGCTGCATTGCTAAAATTTTACTGTAAAGTTAAAAAAAAATTAACCACCTTCAAACTCTACAGTATGATAGAAAGTTCTTAACAAATGTCATTTAAATTATTTTTTCTTTAATTTGTAAGGTAATGTGTTGAAAGAAATAGTAGACCCAGCTGGAGCCATTATCAGAGCAGATGACTTCAAACTGGGTGATCCCACTATTAGCATCATGGAGCTGTGGGGAGCCGAATACCAGGAATCCAACGCCCTTCTGATACGAGAAACGGACAAGGAGCTGCTGGCCAGAATTGGACGCAGGGAGAAGTGTGACGTGTCTTTTGTGGGCACTGTGACTGGAGATGGGGTGGTAAGGAGGACTGGACATTCTGCTTTCATTCTGACATCCTACAAATAAACTTTCATACTAAAGATACATGTCAGAGTACATAGTGTCCACTGCCTTTTGTGGTATACCAAAAAGTTATTTGTTTTATCTCCAAGAATTAAAGAGTGGCATTTTTTTTTTCAGATTGGTGGTATATTTTAGAATTTGATTTTTTTTTCACTTTTCAGGCACAATTTCTTTATTCTGTAGGTGTTATCTATTTTGGCATTATAAACAAATTTTACCGATTAAATATATTCTTAATATACTTTACCATCAAATGTTTTAGATCAAGCTTGAAAATTTTTCCCATTCCACCAAGTCTGATGAGCCAGACATTAAAAGGAGCTGTCCTGACCACCACAGTCTGTACCCAGTAGACTTGGAACTCAAACATGTGCTGGGGTCTATGCCAAGGAAGGTAATCATGGCACCATTGATAACAGACATATGAAGGCTGGTTTTTGAATTAATAAGATTAAAATATGGCTTACCTGAAATTACATCACATATTGATAAGCATCATTGAGCATGTGGTTTAACTTATAGTGCATCTGTTCCCTAAACATAAATTGTGTTGATGAAAATGTGAAACATTATTAAATACTGCATTTGAATCACTGATAAAAGTTGGGAAGCACCAAATGATATATTATTGGAAATGTTGTAGGTATTTAAGCTGACCAGGATTCCCTCCATCCTTGAGTCCCTGGAGCTGCCTGATAACTTACAAGTAATGGAAGCCTTGCACAGGGTGCTTAGACTTCCTGCTGTGGCCAGCAAGAGATACCTAACTAACAAAGTGGGTAACAAATGACACAGTTGGCACTTTCTATAAATATAGTTAAAATGATGTGAAAAAAAATTGCAAATTGCTCACAGAAATTCCTTGTTTGAATTGAGGGGTACCACAGCTCGCTAACCACTCTTGTTCTTGTCTTGGTTTTAGGTTGATCGTTCAGTGACAGGTCTGGTTGCCCAACAACAGTGTGTTGGTCCACTTCATACTCCACTGGCAGATGTGGCTGTCACAGCACTGTCTCATTTTGACAAGGTATCATCATTGTCACTTATAGTTTATGTTAAGTACATGAAGATCCACCTAAATTGTTATACAGTTTTTTCTTTGTTTTTGAAGGATATTGTACTAAATACACCATATTTTAACTTTTAAGGTTGGTGGAGCCACTGCTATTGGAGAACAGCCAATCAAAGGACTGGTGGACCCCAAATGTGGAGCTAGGATGTCAGTTGGAGAGGCACTGACAAACTTAGTATTTGCTCTAGTCACAGATCTGAAGGTAAAACATACTTTTACATGTATCTTTTCAGTTTGGATTCTAAGAAAGTGTGCACTTAATAAAACTGACAAAAGATTTAAGAAATATGTATTTGATTGACCCTTCTCACTCATCAGGATGTGAAATGCAGTGGAAACTGGATGTGGGCTGCAAAGTTACCTGGGGAAGGAGTCCGACTGTTTGATGCGTGCCAAGCTATGTGTGATGTCATGCAGCAACTGGGTGTGGCTGTGGATGGAGGAAAAGACTCACTCAGTATGGCTGCAAGGGTGCAGGAAGATACTGTTAAAGCACCAGGTAGGCTATTTAGAAAGTCAAGTGGTATAATTAAAGTCCGAGTGACATTCAATCTTGTATGGAGTGCTTATATGCAGTTTGATGCAATTTTGCTACATGTGGCTGATATTCTTATACATCTCTTGCTAGCTAAACTCATTAGAATTATGAAAAACTGAATCCTGCTAAATTGTTTATTATAGTTTTTAATTATATATGAATAGTATAAAATATGCATCTCATGCTGAGAAAATGGCCTTTGACAGTCAGTATGGTAGACATTTTTTCTCTGTTGGTCAGGTTCCCTGGTGGTGTCAACCTATGTGGGCTGTCCAGACATCTCGGCCACTGTCACTCCAGATCTGAAGTGCCCAGGAGGAAAAGGTAGCACACTAAATAGAAAGATTGATGGAATGTCTACTTTGAATGACTTGACAGCTTTGAAGTGTTTTTGGAGACACTTTAGAAGAGCCTGGGAAAACATGTTTTTAATACTCAAACATATAAAATATTTGAAAGCTAAGGCTTTGATTTGTATTCATGCTATTTCTTACCATTCTACATTGATATGTTAATTTGGACATTGATGAAAAGGTGTCATTTGGTTTTTCTTTTGCATATTTGTTAAAGACAGTTGCATTTGCTATGTTCTGTATATTTTAGGTGTTATCCTATATGTTGAGATGGGTAGTGGACACCACAGATTGGGAGGCAGTGCCCTAGCCCAGTGTTATAAACAGATAGGAGACAGGTCACCAGACTTGGACAAACCAGAGCAGTTCTCACAAGCCTTTAACATAACACAGCAGCTTATCAGAGGTAGGATGGAACTAAGTGCAGCCTTGGTATCTTACTGAAGATTTAGTTTGCAGTTTTTTAATTTCTGTTTAAAGAAATATTTTTATCTGTACGTATGTCTGTCAACTGAGCCTTGTCTGCAATGCCAGAGCTGTGCATGTTTTTGTTACCATTATATTAATGATCCCATTTGCATGTCAAGTTCAACAAGCATGGGCTGATAATTTGTTTCTTTTTTAATTTTTTTAAAATGATTTTTTTGTCTCTTTGTGTTTTTTAAAAATAATTTTGGCCTTGTGAACACTGTGCCATCCAAATGGTTATTTGGTATAAGCTGAAACTTGCTTGAGCTGTTTATCTAAAATGCTGCTCAAGTTAATAAATAAAAATGAGTAATTTTGCTTTGACAGACATAACACTTGTATGTATTGTCGACTGGCCCATGTTACACTCTGCTTCCAGGCCACCTGCTGACCGCTGGTCATGATGTCAGCGATGGAGGACTGGTCACCTGTCTGCTGGAGATGGCTTTTGCTGGAAACTGTGGGCTGGATGTGGATATACCCTCTGGTGAAGACACAGGTAAGCTGCAGATGTACATATTTATTTCATGGTGTTCATTATATATAGTTATCAGATGTTCATGATGATTCTTCTTCATTTTAGACACTTTCATAGATGTCTTGTTTGCTGAAGAACTGGGACTTGTTTTGGAAGTCTCTGAGAAAAATGTAACAGAAGTTGTGGCAGCTTACAGAGAGAAGAACATTCCTTGTCATAAACTTGGTCATTCCTTGGGAGAGAGCACACAACCTAAGGTGAGTAGAGTAGAGGATGGATCTGAACTCTTAAGTAGATGATTAAATATTTTTCTCTCACTGTTCATTACAAGAATAGTGCAAGCTGATTTGGGTATTAGTGTCTTTAATGAATATATACCAGGAACATAATTTTCTTATATTGTTATATTACGTAAGTTACCATTTCATGATTTATTTATTCTTTTTTTCTAAGAAAATTTGTTGGTTGAAATTTTATTAGAAAATAGTTTAAGATATGAATACTTATGTTACAGTAGTATGTGTATGTTTTATTGGAAATAACTGAACATTTTGCTCTTCTATTAGAGTAGGTTATAAGTTCATCTGATTGATTCTTATTTTTTTGTATTTCCCTCAGATAATGGTAAAATACAACAACAGGTTAGTTCTTGAGAACAAGATGGCTGACTTGCGTGACATCTGGGAGGAGACAAGTTTCCACCTGGAGCGTTTACAAACTAACCCACAGTGTGTGGAGCAGGAAGCCTTGGGACTTAAGACCAGAACAGCACCACCTTATCATCTGACCTTTGACCCCTCTGAGATGCCAGCAGACATTTTGAACAATGGTGTTGTTGATGGAATGGGTAAGCTGGTAAATTTAGAAAGTATAGTCACAAATAAGAGGTTTTTTAAATTATTATTTTTAGTTATGATAAAGCATCATTAAACTAAAGAATTTGTCTTTGATATATTTTTTTGTTGTTGTTGCTGGTGTTGAAACATATCTTTTCATATGACTTCAAATACCAATATACCACTAATAGATTTGAATATTTAAAAGTAAATGTCTTAACTGTTTTAAACATGCACATACATAATTGAAATAATTGAATCCAGTTTATAGGACTTAAAATGTTTTGCCAGATAAAACCATTTCATTGGTAGATAATTATAACTTTCTCTATATAGAGCCCAAGAAACCTAAGGTAGCTGTGATACGAGAAGAGGGTAGTAATGGGGACCGTGAGATGGTGGCAGCCCTGTATCTGGCAGGATTTGAAGTATGGGATGTTAATATGCAGGATCTCTGCACTGGGGCCATCTCTCTGGAACAATTTCGTGGAGTGGTGTTCGTTGGAGGCTTTAGTTATGCAGATGTGCTGGGGTCTTCTAAAGGTAGATGTCCTAAAATGTTGTGTGCCAGAATATATTTTGTCTACATGTGGTTGTAAAGGTCTCTTTCACAAATTGATGGATTATTTGCTTTTAAAAAGTTCTGCGTGCCCTATTTGTGAGAGAGAAAATGTGAAATCTGTTGATGAGAAATAAATAAATTGATAAATTAAAACAATAATGCGTTAGTGGAGCTCCACCCTGTTTAGTTTAAATTGCACATTCTATTCATTTTTTATATAAAATAGCTTAGGTAAATGATGTTCATCTTTTAAAATTTTTGATTAGGCTGGGCAGCGACATGTTTGTTCAACTCCAAGGTGCGTTCTCAGTTGGATGCGTTCAGGACCAGACCTGACACATTTAGTCTGGGAGTGTGTAATGGCTGCCAGCTGATGGCACTTCTGGGCTGGGTGGCCCCTCTTGACGACTATACAGGTAAGGGCAACAATATTCATGTTTGAAACTTTTTTAGCTTAAAGGCATGTGCATGGAATTTTCATGGGTGAATGAAAATAATATGTAAAAGGGGTATGAAATTTAATGCCTAGGCTTAGTTACATGGTCTCTTATGTAGATGTGATTATCTGTTTTATTTACATGTTTATTAAAATAGCTAGCTCACATTTCAGAAGAAACTCACAACCAAGGTTTGTATCTGGATCACAATGAGTCTGGTAGATATGAGTCTCGCTTCCCTACAGTGAAGATCCTGCCCAGCCCAGCCATCATGTTACAGGGCATGGAGGGCTCGGTCATAGGAATATGGATAGCTCATGGGGAAGGTGAATAAATCTATATTTTTTTAAAGGATAATTTCAAAAAACCATGTAAGCTGTGTGGTAAAGTGACAGTAACACTAAAATTAAAAGTTGCTTGGAATCTGCTGTAAGGCTTTTAAACCAATCTTTCAAATTGAGCCCAAGAAAATGAAATGGATCTGGCATGTACTTTAGTGCTCAATCATATTTACCAAAGTGATGAAATTGAGTGGATTTTTTACTTTCAAAAATGTATTTTTGGACAACTTCAAAAATAAGTGCAAAACTTGTACAAGGACTATAGTATATGTGCAGTATAATTCCGCGCAGAAAACTTCTCAAATTCCCTCTCTTTTATTTCAGGCCGTTTTGTCTTCAAAAACAATTCTATCCATGACTCCCACAAATCCAAACATTTATTACCAATGGCTTTTGTGGATGACTTGGGCAACCCCACCATGAAGTATCCACTCAATCCTAATGGCTCACCAGATGGCACTTGTGCTGTCTGCTCTGAAGATGGCCGCCATCTTGCCATGATGCCTCACCCCGAGAGATGTGTGTTGCCCTGGCAATGGCCTTGGATGCCGCAGGAATGGAAGGGAACGACAGCAACATCACCATGGTTGAGAATGTTCCAGAATGCTCATAATTGGTGTTTACAGAATTAGCTAGGTCTCATTTTGGGGAAATAGTACTTAACTATGGGTGCTTTCCTAGAGATTTAGATCGATCTAAAGATTAAGTTTTAGATCAACCTAACTCCCTGGGGGTTCACGCTAAATTGCAGTCAGCCGAGCAGGCACCATAGTTAATTACCCCCTTACAGCTTTTAGTAGACGGGACAGACACTTAAGCCGGCCAAGCTGACAGTAATCTAGTGAGACTCTTCACAGGGATAGATCGATCTAAAAATCTATGGAAATGGGGTGTATGACCCCATTCCCACATTCCCTGTGGGGAGTCTCACTAGATTACTGTCGGCTTAGCCGGCTTAAATGTCTGTCCCGTCTGCTAAAAGCTGTAAGGGGGTAATTAACTGTCGTGTGCGCTCGGCTGACAGCAATTTAGCGTGAACCCCCAGGGAGTTAGGTCGATCCGGATGGATCGATCTAAATCTCTGGGAATGCAGTCTATGTGTTGAGGACAATTTCAGTATGATGCTTTTGTGACAAAGACATTTGAGTTTATAAGTTCTAAGTATAGTTAACAAACCATTGAAGTTATGTTTTATATGCCATACAGGATAGCTTGTCCAGTGCAAAGCTTGGTCAGTAGTTTTGTCAGAAGAATATGTCTTTGAATGTTGTTTTACGTGCCATGTACTTGTATTTTCACTGGTTGGATACCAAAGAAAAAAAACTGAATCTCAAGCCAGAAAGGCTTTGTTGGATGAAAAGATCTGAATGGTATTTTTTATTGTTATACACAGTTATATCTGTTTTTATGATATTTTTATGATATTCAAGAAGTGGTCATTTTGATGAAATGCACATGTCAAACGTGGGCATAATTTTGTTTTTTGTATTGTGTACTTTTCTAAGCACTTAGATTAGAATTGGGTTTAAATCTGTCTTTGAAGTCCGACCAATTTTACAATTTTTCAAAGATTTTTGAAAGTGCGTGACAAACATTCCCTCGCATTGTCTTTATTTTATTTGTAAACATGATAATATGAGAAGAACATTTTTCACATTAAAAACTGCCATCATAATTGTTATGGGTCACATTTATAAGAAATTCTCGGCTTTGAGAATTATATGTTCACAGTAAGTAAACTTACAATAAACCGCATAGATGTTTTAAGTGTAGTTGAGTAAGTTTTTTGAAAGATATATTTGTAGCTTACTTTGTCCAGATTTATTCGCGCGATGAACTGATAAATATCAAGATCTGCATCTCATTTGTTTCTTAGATTCGAACTCGTCCTCCTACCTTTGAAAGCTTTACTCTTCTATTGAGAGGAAAACCAGTGAAATAACAGTGGAACGCGTAACGCGACGAAATGCCAGATTCTTGATAGATTCTAGCCCAATGCTATGGTGTGTTTTTCTTTCGCAACCCGTTCCCAAAGCTGTTCAGTCTCTCAATAAATCCACATACTCCTTTAGTCGCGTCGGCAGGGGCAGCGAGTAAATTCCTTGCGGCAGCTGGAAGTTGGTATGCAAACTCTGTCTTATGTAGAAGCGGCAGATATGTTGGAGCTCGGCCGGCCCATGCGTCCGCGAGCGCAGGAACGCGTCACTGTAGACGGGGTGGAGGTAGAACCCGCCCAGGTACGACGCCGTGTGATGACGGGAATTCCTCGCCTCTATCACTCTCACCGACAGCCTTAGCAGAGCACGAGCGAAATACTCGATGCAACGTATCAGACGGGCTTCTCTTACTTTCTGTCGCTTAGAAATTTCTTCTCTAATGGCGGGGTCCATAAACTCAGCGTGCGTCTTCCAAAACACGTTAGCGTTCAGTTTTGTCACTAACGTGTGAAGTGGGTAACAGTAAGACGCCGCGCCCGTCAGAAACTGAAGGTCCACATTATCGTTGCCCCAGAAGTGACGGGGATACGTAGGCTTCATGGGGTTGGCGCCGTAGCGAAGTAGCATCAGAACAGCCTCAGGACTCTCTGAGCAGCATGCGAGCATGAGAGGCGTTTTCCCGCGCGATCCTGGCATGTTAATGTCAACCAGTCGGAGGTTCTCGTCAAGCCACTCCGCAAACAGGGTGTGGCTCCATCGGACGTAGGGGTCGTGCCGTATCACGAAGGCGCTAGTATCCCAGTCGGGGCGGGGAATGGAGATCTTTACCCTATTGGCCTGCCGTAAAAAATACTCCAAGATGTTCAATCGTTCTGTGGTAATGCAGTTCTCCGCGTTCAGTAGACCCCTAGAGGTTTGAGAATACAGCGTGCAAGATCGCACGTCATCTAAACTCATCAGCGGATCCAAGAAGACAAATAGTTTCTCAAATGATTTCTCGAATTTGTGTATGGTCATAAAAAGCCTATATAAGAGGTCCGATGACTGGATGTCAAATTTTTCACAAAGATGGGCCGACATGTATATTGCATTCCTAGCATTGTTGTCGTGTGGATGTAGAGAAGTACTCTTGTCGTGGTAATCAAGACCGTCTTCTACCAGTCGCTCTACCACGCGCTTATAGTTACCTTGAAAATAAATTTAAGGTGTTGAGCACTTGAATTAGACCTATCAAGGAAACTTTGTAGAGTCATCTTCAATCTTATTCTAAAATTACGCGCTGTTATTGATGTTTGCTTTTTAATACTTAAAAGTACCTTGGCCTATTCAAGGGCACCAGTGTTTTCTATTGAGGATTTTGTTTGCAACATTACATCAAGTTCTAACAGTTTTCAAATTATTAATCAGTACGGGTAGTACAAATAAGACTCTTCAAAGAGTTTCTTTATTTAGGCGTTTTTCATTGACTTCTATAAAACAGTAGGTACCTTGCGCTCGTATATATTCGTACAAAAATCGCGTCATCTTCTTTGTCTTCTCGGGAAAAGTGAATCCCCATCTTCCGTAGTGATCACTGAGTTTATAGAAAATATTTCTTTCTGTCGTTCCCTGTCCTATACACACTGTTGACATCTTGAATTGACAATGACTTCAAATGTACATTTGTATTAAACGATCTTTTTACGTGACGTGAGTTTTTGTTGTGACGTCAACGTGGCGCAAGGCGAATTTTACGTAACTTGCGCTTATACCCTGACGGCACCTAACGCTACTTTGTGTCGTCATATTAGATCGCAAAAACACCTCTATCAATGTGTCTCGACTGTCGAAAAAAAAGATATTGTATTTTAAAATACTCTTCCCCAGTTTATAAAATGTTAAGATCGTTTTCTGTATATTTTAGATTTATCGAGCGATCACAGTCACAACATAACACTATCCCGATTTTATCACAACATAATGAATGTGTACACATAGCTTTTAGCCATCAATTTTTGTTATGGTGACTATGCATACTATGCATGCAAGTTTTATCAGTCAGGTATTTTACGCGATCAGCATTATTAATGTTTTAGGAAAGCCGTTTTAAATCTAATACTAGTTGATAACGTTCGGCATGTGGGATACGATTGAATGACCAATGCAACATATAGAGTTAATAAATCTGTCCTTCTGTTTTTAAATGGAATTTTAAGTAAGTTGCTATTCCAAGGAGCCCAGAAGACGGGAGAGGACATATTGATTTACCGCTAGTGCCACGCCCTTGTGACAAAATGGAACGAGTCTCAGGTCTCAGAGCGCTCAATGCCTCTCATCCACAATGAAGAGTTTCAGTGTTGACCGTTTTAGTAATCAAATGTGAATAACGTGTAGAGTTTTTAAAAGCCTTTGTAACTAGTGTGTGTGGGGTGTGTGTTGCAGAATGTGGTGTTATAAAAGCTTGAATGTGTTTGTTTCTGAAAAGGAGAGTTTTAAAATATTTAAATTTTAAAAGGCACGACACATGATCAGTTTTTTTTATTAGATCCATCAAAGAAGTACACCGTCAAAAACAAATAATCATATATTATCATTGCACTTACTCTTTATACTATAAATCACTTTTGAATCAGTAGCATCACAACAATATATAACTGCAATTAATATTGAAATAATTTGTTTTCCTTTCGACAATATTATATTTTAGAAGAATTTTATAAATTAAGAATTCTACAATGCGAAATATTTAGAGTAATAATTTACGTAAATGAGTGAGGCAAAACATAAAGAATATGAATAACTTTTGACCAGCAAAAGCACTGAAAAATCCAGATGTTGTACAATTTTACCTCCGTCACAAAATTACTTCAAAATGTGTGAAAACAACATGCAGGAAGCAAAAAGATTTTGCATTATACTCATGAATAACTCTGCCTATTTAACATTAAATAACAATTACTGATAGCTTCATTAACTATTTTTCTCAACATGAGCTAGGTTGACAACGCACAGACAGACCTAGGACATTAAACTTCCCTGAAACCATCTAATATGCTAAGAATTAGTATGATTAAATTACTTTGTTTATAAATAATCATTCCAGACGTATTCAAATACGTTTACTAGTAGATAGATATACAATATCTAAGATATCTATATATATGACAATAAATCTTTACATACATTCAAACCCTCCAAGTACATATGATATTGTATCAAAATATATTATATGACTAGAAAATGGAAACAAAAACATTGTACTTTCATGTAACTGCACATTACTATAATACATGTAAAAAAATCTTATATTGAAACCTTCCATTGGTGTCCAACAGTTGACATCAGTTCAGTTCCAAAGTAAGAGATGAAAAAAAATTCATTTCTTAAGCAGCATTCTAAGCAATATACATTATTAACAAAATAAAGAAAAGAAAAAGCAAATAAGATATTGGGAATTCCTGTTGACATATGGAATGTTTGATAATCCAAAAGGACGGATTAGACTTCCCAGTATATGGCACAATGGTAAGAAGCTGGGAGAAAGTAGGGCCCCTCTCACTGCTCACTGTCTAACTTAGGCAAACTTTTGACAGCAGCAGTTTTCTTGATGGGACCTTTCTGTGGATCTAGTATTCTGCGGTCTGATGGGATGTTCCTGCAAAACAAGAGGGTTGTTATCTGTTAATAACCCTTAGTGTGGCTACTTGCTGTGAAAGATTTGGTGGTAAAAATGAGACGATACTGAAATGCTTGACATATTAAAGTGAAGGAAAACACAACTGCAGTCATTTTTGACTGTGTTCGAGTTAGTTATGTGCAAATGGTCTTAATGATTAAAATTTAGCGCTAGAGGAATTTTAACTGGCCAGTTTACCTTGGAGATTGTTCCCCTTCCTTATATCCTGCCTTCTTAATGTGTTCTACCTGGTACTTAGCCATGTTTATTTCTGTCACATACTGTTTGCGTTCATCATTTGCTTTATGGTATGCCTGAAGAAAATCATAATCAAACTTCAGATATCCAAAACTTACTTTTCAAAAGTTTCTCTCAGTAAAATTGTTAACATCACTTTTAAATTAGGAATAGTTTGTCAATGTAAAAGTACTTTTAAAAAATCAATTATCTAAAAAAAATGAAAAGATATAAAAACGTGTGCAAGGTGGTTCTACTATGAAGATGTTTAAATAGAAGTTTTCTGATTAAAAACCAATATTAAACAGTGTTTTTGAAACTTAATTGTCACGCTGTTTGATGCCTTCTGTTTAATCATGCTACTGTCAAAAATGTATTCATTTCAGTTAATCAAAGTCCATATAAGAAAGAACATACCTTTGATTCTTGATCCAGTCTCCATTCTAGGTCTCTCAGTTGGCTGTTCAAGCTTTGCTTCTCCCTCTCCATCTGTTTTACTGTGTGTGGATTGGCCTGAAACAAAAAAGTACTCAGTGCTATTAAAATATTGTGGCTATAGAGGGCAATTTTGCAAAGCATTATTTTTTGCATATTTAAATGCAAATTATACTTTTTCTGCACTGAAAAATATCAAATCAAATACATGCACTATTTCACACCATATTTCAATATATTTAACCAAGTATTTTGCAACCCCAGTAAGGTTATTTATTTTTATAATGGTTGTAAACTCATTCACACATTTTTTTCCAAAAAATAGTTGTCTGCTATTTCTAAAATGGTTTTAATTTATAAACAGCCATTTACATTTTCTGTCACTTAGACATGTTTATAACTCATACTGAAAAGCACCATTGTTTAAGGCCAAAGTGTCAATCAGATACTATGACATGTTCCCTTACCATTTTATTAATTACTGCATTCAGAGATCAAAGAGTAATAAAACTGTATACTTACATCATTAAAATCATCCCCTTGCTTTAAGCTTACTGCCTGTCTACTGGGATCCTTTGCCGTTTTACCTGAAATACAGAGATTCAACAATTTAAATATTGTTCAGTCCTCCGATCAAGGACTATTGCTGTTCAGTGATTTTGAACCTGATTATTATCAGTGTAGCAGATTGTCAATATCCAGTTGTGTCTTGGACAGTTGAAATGCAAAGATGTGTAAACAAAGAACACAGGCCATACCTTTGTAGAAAAAAAGATGCAATTTGGGTATTTTTTATTATCCCTGTGATTCAGATATTAAGCTGCTTGTCCCTTTTAGTGAGAGATGGCAAATGAATGCAATTTTATTTGGGCAAAGGAGGAGGGGATAACTTGTTTGTCCCTAACATTAAATTCAAATGTTGAAACACTCACTGAATAAATGCTCATATTAGTATATATGCTTACTGTAAGCAAAAGGGAAAATACCTTCTTTCAACGTTTTCCTTGCTTCATCTGCTTTCTCTTGCAAAACCAGAACCTGTTTTTCTAGCTGTTGATTCATTTCAACCTGTGTCTCGTAGCGTGTCTTCCACTCATTCCCTTCGTCATCAATAGTGTCAAACCTTTTTTCCAGTTCTTGGACAGTAAGCTTGAGTTCTGCTGAGGATTGGTCCAGCATTTCTCTGTAAAATGATGAATTCAGATCACTGCTCTTTCTATATACCGAGTATTAAATAATATTAAATAATGTGGCCGCAACTCATGCTTCTTGCTTATAATTATAATAATTAGGTATATCACAATCCGCTAGGGGCGCTACAGTCGTAACTATCCAGGGGCAGTGAGGTGTAAAACTGATATCGGCCTGCTGACAGCTCGCCTATGGCACCCCTTTTTTTAAATCTCTTTTTTAGCGCCGCGTAAAAAAACTAATACAATCCATTAACTTAATAAGCTGTAAATCAAAGAGTAAAATCCAGTCACGTGATTTTCCCCGTGTTGCAGTCTTTGAGAAGTTTCAGTTCAGGGCGTTTGAAGTTTTGCCTCGACAAAATGCTCAAAAATGTCAGTTAAGTACTGGTTGCAACTTTTTGAAATTTATAGCGAATAAAGTTTATGAAATTTGCAATATTATGTAGAAAAATCATGAAAATTGAGCCATGTGAAGTATAGTTTATTTGATGCGCAATATTTATAGTACATGATCTGTAGGGAAGCCATCCCAGCCATGTTCTTGTGCGGTCGCCAATTTGGGTTTGTTTCTGGGTCATTAGATTAACATACAGCCCTAATTGCCCTAATTGGTCACAAGCAATTTGAGCTGCAGCTACAGCTGAGTGATCACCGCTGCTCAGTAGTGACACTCACAGGTTTTAAGCTGAAGAGTGTGGACACTTTTGGTGAATTTTTGCAGTTAAAAAACTTCAATATCTTTGTTGCTTGTTGGAATATTAAAAAAATTCCAAGTGATTTCATCCGGTTTTTGTATTACCTTTCAGATGATATAAGTATTATAATTTTATGATCAGTTTGAAAATTTTTCTGATATACCTATAATAATAACTGTTAACTTCAGTGATACAAGTACCCTGCTCAAATATGCAGGTTGCCAAACAAGTAAGTCTGTCTCATAGCATAGCATTTAAGCATAGCTTTTAAGGTCGAAAACTGAGGCAAGAAACATGCACAACCAACATTGTACACGCACACGTTGCAAGGATGATTAACGGGGTCATCAACACAGGGTACAAAAAGCAGAATTGAAAAACATTAATACTTGAAGCACAATTTTGCATACAAACCCTTCAGTTATTTGAGTTATTTCACCTACCTCATCTGCTTCTCTTGTTGAATCTCGGCTCTAAGCCGCTCCAAATCAAATTCGTCAACTTCGGTCGCCATTTGTAAACTAAAAAATCAGCATGACCTTAGCTACAATAAAGGAAAACAAGTGCAGACCGATATAACCGTTCACGGGCACCTGCCTAATGTGTGTGTTTGTTAAATAGAAACCACTATTTAAAACAAAGGTGTAATTAAATGAAATGCCAACAATTCGATGTTTTTTCCAACTGTGATCCAAAACCCATCGTGATATTTTCATGAGCAAAAGAAAGGTATGCTTAGAGCTTATCTTGAACTCCCAGGTCACATGATATTGTTTTGGTGGGAGTCAGCTGACTATGGTGGTAAGAGTAACTTTTCCATTCATTGGATTGTATCACCCTTTTCGAAAGGCATTTTTGCTTTCTGTCTGTTCAGATAACTTATCCTTACTATTATATTTTGTTGTACGCAACGTAGGTAGGAAAAAGAACATTGATTACAACAAACTAGTACAAAATCATGCATATCGCGGTTGAACCTTTTCTTTTTCCTCTGTTTTCGGCCTTTCAAAGCTATGTACTGACCGTAATATCTGGCATTTCAGACCGAAAATTGAGAAAGTTGAACCTCGGTACGTTATTTTGGTTGTTTCAGTGTTAATTGCTGAGAACTTACGACATTCATTTTTGCCTATAATAACAATCGGTACCACAAGCTCTCTTTCACCCACTTCTTTGTCTTTATGTCAGATTATTTTTTCTTACATGTACTAAATTAACAAAAGCGTTTATATTTTGTACAGTCTCACCTTACAGTGAGATTTTGACACCTACCTCTGAGACATACCATTGACCAGGATATTTGCCTATAAAAGAACAGCTACCTCATTATGAACAGTGGTGACATTTTGTAGAACAGAATGCCGGGGAATAAGACAGTATCAGATGGACACATATTCCAGTTCAAAAACTGCAGAATACTCCGTAATCATAGTATATTTGTGGAAGATTTGTGGGTGCGAGATGGAAAGATCATTGACCCTGAGAAACTGTTTTATGTAGAAAAGGGTTATGCAGACTTTCAAGTTGATTGTAAAAATGCCATCATTGCACCTGGATTCATTGATGTCCAAATTAATGGTAAGTTTTTACTGGTACATGTATCTTTAAATGTTAACTTTGCAAAAAAATTATAGGCCAAGTCAGAAGTACACGCACACACACACAGGCACAGTTACAAAACAGTGGAAAGTAATTTACTTAAAAAAAACTGCACTCCTCTCACCTTTAACTACTGGATTTTGAAATATGATAAATTGGATTAAGATAACACTTGAAATTGAGTAAATAAATAAATAAATAAGAAAATTGGCTATAAACAGAAGTTATTGATGCTGTTTATATTGTCATGTTATACAGTATGCTTTTGTCTGCAGGCGGTTTTGGCATTGACTTCTCTTCCAACTTTGATGACATAGAAGGAGGAGTACAGAAAGTAGCCAAAGGGATTCTCCAACATGGCTGCACATCCTTTTGTCCAACCATCATCAGCAGTTCAAAGGAGGTCTATAAAAAGGTGAGATGATACCAGTTAACCACAGCAGTGTGCATTTAGAAATGTCTCAGATTAAGTCATTTTCATTGATGACAAATTGGATAAAAATTAAATGCATTTCATGGCCTTTGCCAAATTGCATTATTCTGTGTATGTTTCAGTGGCAAACTTTTCCCAACTAGCTTCTGATTTGGTCCTACTTTATGTATTTATGAAGGCTATAGTGATCTTGAAAACTTATGGTTATCAATTATCATGGGGTCAATAGAAAAGCAAAGAGCCAAATTGATGGCAAATAGTTTTGCACTTAGTATTGAGTAGACCTGATTACTTTTGAAGTGACAATAAAAGGCTTATTATCTGATTTGCTTTATAGTCTGCTTATCTGCTTTATTCTATGCCGTAACAATTTCATAAAATTGTCCCGAAAACTAATTTTATAGTTAATTTCATAAATTAATTTAATAAAACAGTTGTCTGTGAAGTATGTATAAGGACACAGTAACTTAATGGCAATGGTGTTAAATACTCCGTGTTAAGATTTTGATCACATTTTAAATATACCTGTGAATTACCCTCATCCCAAATGCCCACTTTGTTTTATTTATTCATTCAAAACACTGTAGAAAGACATTTTCTGAATCACAACTGAAATCCCTTATCAGATCTTACATATCATTACTGTTCCAAGCATGGTATATTTAAAATTAGTCTGACAATGGCCATTCATAGATATATATATATTAAGCTGCCTTATTGTGACACTCAAAAAATTAGCCCTAAAGTCTAAGCCTTTAAGGTAGAAAGGAAGACGTGTATTTGAGAAATAATATATTGATTTAAAAACTTCATTATTGTAGGTATTGCCAAAAATCAAAATAAAAGCTGGCGGCAGAGATGGAGCAGAGATATTAGGTAAGGCTACACTCTTTGAATACATGTAATTATTGTGATAGGATCTCCAATAAAAATGTGAAAATAATTTCATTAAAGATACATCCTTTGTGAAGAGTGCACTGTGTGAATTATGATACCCTACTTGATATATATCACTATAGGCAAGGGTGCTAATAATGACATGTTTCAATAAAGTTTTCAGTTTTGTTTCAGGCGTTCATGTAGAAGGTCCCTTTATAAGTAAAGAAAAACGTGGTGCACATCTGCTGGAGAACATGGCCACCTATGACAATGGTTTCAGTGATGTGTTGGACATGTACCATGACATCAGTTCAGTAAGAATTGTTACCTTAGCTCCAGAGCTCCCAAGGAGCCTTGATGTTATCAGAGAATTTGTTGATAGAGGAGTGGTGGTTTCATTAGGTGGGTGTCTTTCAGTTTATTGCAGTTCTGGTCTGTCATCAATATTTCATCCAAACAGAATGGGTTTTGTAAAACAAAATGGCTAAAGGTTGATTTTTGAAGATCTGATTATGATTTATAAATTACCGATTCTGAATTCAATATAAAACGTACATAAAATGTGATATGAAGGTGTTTCAGAGAACAATGGTGCCACTTTGTCAAATAATTGCGGAACTGTCACCTGTCAAGAAGGACATATCATCTAAAAATACCTTCGAATTTATTGGTGAAGAAGAGAGAAAGAGAGAAAAAAGGGCAGAAAATACTATCACTGCCATATTCAAATATTTCTCTCCAGCTATAGGTGTTTCAGGGAGCAATGATGCCATTATACCAAATAAATTGCAGAACTGTCACCTGTCAAGAAGGACATTATATCTGTGTCAACTGACATAAATTACATAATGTCATCTTATGTTAAGATATGTATATGTGTTATATCCCAGATTTGAATAAGTTTGTAGTTGTGTTTATCATATTTCAGGTCACTCCATGGCCAGTTTGTCTCAAGGAGAGGAGGCTGTAAAACATGGAGCTTCCTTCATTACTCATTTGTTCAATGCTATGTTGCCTGTAAGTGAAAAAAAACTTGTGTTTGTCAGAGGATAATATAACTTATAAATAGATAACAGTATAATTATGATATATACTAATGAATGTAATAAAATTAGAGTGCAATTCTTTCCTGTCTTAAATTAGTAAAAAATAATATATTATAGCCATTGCAATTTCAATGTTTTAGTTTCATCACAGAGATCCCCACCTGGTAGGATTATTGGCCAGTTATAAGCATCCTCCTGACTTGAGGATAATTTATTATGGTATCATATCTGATGGGATTCATACTAACCCCTGTGCAGAAAGAATAGCTCACAGGACACATGCCAAAGGTACAGTTAGTATGTGGTAGGGGTGATATATTTCACAATATGGCACACACCAAAGGTGCAGTATTTTGGATGTGACTTTTCTCACAACATAACTGTTACATGCCCCAGAGGTGCATAGTTTGGGTGAAACTGAAAAGGGGCAGTATGCCGAATGTGACTGTTGACAGCATGTCATAATTGATTGTTCTGTTGGAGCTTGTCATAATACAAGGTGTGGCCCAATTTTAATAAGTTAAAATGAAAATTATTGCTTTGTACTTCATAAGACAGGTTTTTATTTTAAAGAAAAATTAGAAAAACAATATATTTATCTGGATTTGAAGATAACTGTCTCATTAATGTATATTCTAATTTTAACCCAGTACAATTGAGAGACCTTAGACCAAGCTGGGCCAGGTGTATAAAGTACTAATTAGGAATGAAAATATTCACATTACAGGTCTAGTTCTTGTAACAGATGCAATTGCAGCCATGGGTTTCCCCAGTGGCCAGCACCAAATAGGTCCACAACTCATAGAGATCAGGAATAAAAGGGCAATGATTGCTGGGACAGAAACACTATGTGGGAGGTAGTCAGATCAGAAGCAGCCAGCAGCATTTCTTTGCTTGTTGCTCATTTAGGTTCACATGGATATTGCCAGATAAACGCTTGAGCTTCAACCTGCAAGAATAATCAAACAAATGTACTTTGCTGGCAGCCATAGCAAAATATTATTTCAGTTTTTCACCAGTTTGGTAAAATATTTCATTGCATACAACTTGGCATCACAATTGGCAATTTGAATGTTTTTGAATGAGAAAAATAGTTTGGTGACTGCATGTAATTGTGTAATTGTCATCCATGGAAATGGTGATGAAGAGTAGGTTATATGTTGATCTTAGTCAGGTATGTTGTGAAGTATGTGGCATGTCGCAAAGTTGAATCTACTTTTGAATTGGATATTTTTGCTGAGAGATGAAGCTAAAAACTGGTACTTATCATGTACTGACATTTCCACTGTATTGTTGACTCATAGGTTTTGCTTTTGTGCTTGTGCATTGCTAGAACTAATTTACTAACATATGCTTTTATGTTTTTGCAGAATTCAATTTTCTTTTTTTGTGAACATTGATGCAGACCAGTATTGTGTGCTGTAGATATTTTATTTCAGTTTTTGCATTAGTTTTGCATTCCAAAAGTCCCTTGCATGCTTTTCATGTGCTACACACCACCCCTTATCCCCATGGGCAGAGGCAGATCAGGATTTCCAGAAAGGGGTGGGGGCATTTTTTTTCCTCCCTCACCACCCAACCGTTCACCCCCTGCTAAGCTGTGATAGAAATATTTTTTAAAAGATGCATTGCTATGTATATGGGATATTCTGTGCCTTTCCTGCCTATTTTGTAAGGAGTGGGAGATGAATCTGCCATTTGTTCTTGAAAAGATTGCTGAGGGAGGGAACAAACTGCCCTAAAACTTCCTTGAGGATATATTTATTGGGAAAATTGTGCAGTTTATTTGGTACTAAAACATAAATATATGATGTTGTACGTCATTATGAGTCAGCTGTGGCTTAAATTTGGTGTAATAGATGACACTAGTATTACTAATAACTGTTCCCATTATTTAGTTGCTATTATATCTACAAGTTATGTGGTATCACCACCAGTACCACAGTTGGTTTGGTTCTCCCCCTTGACTCCCTCAGGATATAATTTTTTACATTATAAATCAGGGGCGGATCCAGAGATATTATCTGACAGTTTTCCAAATTATCTTTGTTGATCCATCCTCTATTTTGACTGTCTTCAGACAGAAAAAATTAGATACCCGTCAATGTAAACTTGAAAATCTGATCGTCTTCTAGAAGACCCAGAAGACGTCCTCAATCTGCTCCTGTAAGTGTTGGGTTCAAAATTTTGAGCTCGTGAAAACTTTGGCAAAAATTAGTTAATAGTTTTTCATTTTCAAACAATTTGAAATAAAAATGTGTTAAGCATATGGCTAAAATTTATCATAGTGGAGTAAACTGTATAAGTTTCACTAAAGAACTTAAAATACTTTGAAAGTTGGTTTTAACATAAAGACCGAAAACTCTAGAATATTTTGACCCAAGATAAGTGAAGTAGTATTCCACTTAGAGATACCACCCCTGTTTTGCAAAAAAAAAAAAAAAAAAAAAAAGGTAAAAGAACTAATACTGTATAACAATGGACTACAACAGTTTTATCCTGGGTTGAAATAGAACAAAAATTTGTGTCTTTAGGTTATGACCAACTTTCTACTTGGGTTCCTTTAAGAAAGTGTGCCCTGCTTCCCCTGTCTCAGTTCCTGCTTTCCCTGTTGCAGGCTCAGTGTTGGTTACAGATGCTGTAGCTGCAATGGGACTGCCCAGTGGTACACATCGCACTGGAACACAAATGATTGAAATCCAGGATAAAAGGGCTCTCATTGCAGGCACAGATACATTGTGTGGGAGGTGAGAGACTATGGCAGACAGCAAAAGCAGATTTATCCATCACGTTGGCACCTAATTTGACACTCCTAGCTTTTTGGGCCATTAATCCTCTTGAATGTATAGTTAGTTAAAGCATTTTTCAAGAAATCAGTAAGCCCAACCACTAAATCTGACACTTATTTTGGGACTAAGTAAGAAAATATTGAAATACTTCTTTGGCAAGTATTTGCTATCATAGCTGTAAATCATAAGCATATTGCATCAAAATAGTTGTAAGTTCTGAAGGCACAGTCTGACATACTTGGAACAAGAATTGAAGTGGCCTAAGAAAAACATAACCTGCATGCTTTGTGATTTGCAATATACATCCCTGCCATAGTCATACTATCCTAGTACAAGTTTTATGTTATTTGGCTTTGTGGTATTGTTTTCCTCTTTAAGTTAAATTTGTGTGTGTACTGTCTGTATACAGATGTATATATGTCATGGTGGCAACTGCAGTTTTGTAAATTTATCAGGCAAAGACTCCAATAAGTGCCTCAACTGATAGAATCTCCAAATCAGAGTTATTACCCTGACATATATTTCTGAGTTTTGCTGTAGACTAAAGCACTTGTTTGATGGTTACTAACAAAATAATATCTCGGAAGTTTTTTTTTTTTTTTTTGCTTGTTTAGTAGTCCTGAAAAGCTCAATATTTACTAGTAACAGAATTTAAGGAAAAGCTACAAGTGTTGCACTTTGTTCACTTTGATTTTGTGACTAATGCTTTGAATATAACCCTTACTTCAAAATCTATAACTTAGCCGTAAATACCCCATTTAAAGCCTCATCCTGACATATATTCCCCTTATATGTGGAACACTAAAATTGTTTGGTTTAAATATTAAGCACTAAATTGGTGAAAAGGAGTAAACTTTTATTAGTTTTTCTAGCAAAGCCTTAAAATAAATGACTTTTAGAGTTATAATTTAACAGAATGTCAAAAAGAGATTATTCCTACCATCCTGTGTTTCTTCCCACCCACTTTGACATACTGTAATCACCAAAATCTGCATGTTCCAGCATAGCCACTATGAACCAGTGTGTGAAGTACTTCTATGAAGCTACAGAGTGCACTATGGTGGATGCATTGGAGTCTGCCTCTCTACATCCAGCCAGACTTCTGAAGATCACGGACAGAAAGGGCTCGCTTGATTATGGCACTGATGCCGACTTTGTGATGCTTGACGACAGCCTGAACTTACTGGTATGATTTAAACTAGGATTTTAATGAAATTTTTTGGTGGGTTGACACCCCCACTCCCTTCACTTTTGCCAATTTTTCTAGAAAATGAGTGCAAGTATATGATAGTGTTTTGAAGGCATTGAGAATATTTTATAATACTTCATTAAAGCAAATTTGATTTGGTTTTGATAATTTTCCCCTTTTTGAACAATAAAATTTACTTAATATCCCTTTAGTTCAAAATATATCTTAATGCATTTTTGTTGGTCACATTTAAATTTTATTCGAGTTGAAGTATAAGGCTGTGCCCCTAAATGTCATTGTATTTTACAGCTAGTATATTTAAGTTTGTAAAACTGTTTGTCAAACACAAAACTATATTTTTTGATATAACAAATAAAATACTCTGTATGCCTTCATATTTAAAGTTGTATAGAAGAGGACCGAGTTACAGGAGAAAAGTAAAGTTGAATTTGAAGCCCATTGCCTAAAAGAATTATGTTTGCCATAATATGTGTAACCTAACATGCATCTTTTATTAACTTTAGGCTACATACATAGGAGGGGAGTTAGTCTGGGACAGCAAGCTGGGCTATGATAGAGTTGTAAATCATGGGACAAGAAGAATATGAACTTTGACTATGGAGATCACAGTTATACTGTTAAAGGGATAATAACTCTTCGTATGAAATATGTATTTCACAATAAAAACATTGTGAGTGACTCATAAAAATATAAAATATTCTGTTTTCCCACAAAATCGGCTGTTATAGCTATTATTCTGATATCTGAGCTTGTCTTTTGACCACGTGACCTCCATTGATGACCATACTATGTTAAAATCTCTTAAGAGATTTTAACAAAAAACCAAACTTTTTAGAAAAAAACCAGGGACTAACTTTGAATGTAAAAATGGATTCATTAACCATTGGTAAGTATGGGAAAATTGTTGTTTACTCCAGGAAAATTCATTTTTTGGCCGAAACGAAGAGTTATTATCACTTTAAGCATGTGAATGAAAAAAAAATTGTGCAAGAATATAGTGCCAGAGTCATGGCTCAGTTGGCATTCACATCTTCTCTTTAGAGAGGTCATAGCAGATGTCTCTTTAGTTACAGAAATTGCCAAATTGCACGTATTTCTATTCTGTAAGAAGCTGTTATTTGTTATTTAATTATTTTTGAATTAAAAAATAATTCAGAACGGACACTTACTTACTCTGACAATCAGTTCTTTATGTAATGCATTTTTCATATAACTTTTAGACTTCTCCAAATGAAAAAAAATCCTTGAAATTACGACCTGTTATTCCACTGCAAATTGAATTAGTGTAAAAAGCAAGTGAAGATTTAAAGGCCCTCATATGTCTGTAAAACTGTGGTTTCTAAGTATATGTTTTGTTATGAGTTACATTACTGACTGCCAATTTTATATCCATACAGTGTTGACTAAAGGTCATGTGTGTACTCAGGACAGGTGTTTTTTGTATGCATTATCTTCCATTATCTGGTCAGGACAAATTTCTTTAGTAAAAGAAAGCAACTTTATAACTTAAAATATAGTTGTTAAAAGGTGTAATGTTGAGACAAAAAGTGGTGCTAAATTAGATGAACAATACATATTTCATTTAGTTCAGATTTTAATTGGGGTGCAATGTAGATGAAATTGTAGCAGCAAATGTGAAAAGTTGACATCTGTTTGTTGTACAATTTGATTAGTTTGTGTTTAATTTATGAATTTGTTTTATGAACTTCCTTTTTTATGCAAAACCATGCCTTGGTTCTCTGTGCCAAGGTATCTTTTATGAATTGTAAAATGTTCACCTCTTTATTAAATTTTGTGTATGTTTTTTTTTAAGTTAGAAGTTAATAAAATATTAAGAATGTATTGCCACATTTATTCAGAGTAAATACAAATAAAAAGTTCCATGACATCCTGAAATGTTCTTTCCATTTTATATCAATTCACACTAGTATTTGAACATTACAAGAAAACATAAGAACATGCACATACTTTCCATCAATAGTTTGCATGGTAAATAATATCTGACATCTTGCTAATGGCATGGGATTTAAGTCTAGTGTGCTTAGTTGCAAAAAAAAAAGTGTAATCGAAGGAAAGTGCATGTCCTGAATGGGCAAGTATTTTGTATGTGTCAAAGCTAAGAGAACAAATCACATTCTATCCTATCCCTGAAAAGATTATCTGAGATGGCAATTTAATATACACACTATACATGTATTAAACATAAAACATTGCAACACTGAGTTGTTGCATAAACATTTCAGAAAATCAATGTGCTTCATCCAGTAAAGGTATCTTTTATATAAAGACGAAACATTATCTACAAGACATGGAAAAGAAACCTACGCATACCACAATGACAACTTTTTTGAGACAACAAAAGTTCTGCTAGATCACCGGAGTAATCGTTGTTGACAGTGTCAATACAACTTTTCAGTAAACACAGCTTGTCAAGTGAGCAGCTTATACCAGTGCTGATTTTAAACTTTAAAGAGTCAGTTACAATTTAGATACATTGTTCCAGCACTTGTTTTGAGCCCTTGTTGCTATGTCAATACTATACTGCAACATTAAAAGACCATCTCTGCTCTTTTTATCGCATCATTAGCTGTTCTTTTGCTAATGTTATCAACATCTAAACTGACACCAAAACAGGTTCACAATATACAGGTTTACCACATCCATTCAACTCCCATGTGACACCATAATCCCTGGTTCCCCAAGTTTAATATTCAGTCTCAATATATAATATTGGCTGTCTGTACTTTATATACATGCATAATGACAGTTGATTTATTATATACATGATATATGGTAGTTTCCAATGCGTGGACTATGAGAAGACTGCATCTACAGTTAGTCCAATTTGTATTCCCTTTCTTGTGGAGGTTTCCCTCCTTCTGTCCATGCAACATATATGAATAATCCTAATATTATATGCACCATCAAGACTGCCACCCCTGCAGAATAGATAAGGGCACGGCTGGTCTCCACACCCAGCATACCTAAGGTAAAATTGAAATTATAAACATGAATTATCATCATCTTAAATAACAAACTTTTTAACGAGCAATTTTTGCCCCTTTTCCTTGAAGACAATGCAATTGTTTTTTTTTTTATATATATCTTTACCACTTACACTACTGTTCTAAGATGTTATTGAATATTCTACATAAAGGTTTTAATTACTTGCCTTCGAACACCATGTTTTTGCTGACAAAGTACATCCCAACAGGGAGGGTGATCATCATTATTGTAAATGTGAGCAAAGTCTTGAACACTCGCCAACTGGACTCTTCATTACTAAAAAAAATATCATCACAACAATATGAGGAAGAAAATAAATCCATCAGTGTATTTGCAAAACTAAAAACTAAATGCTTCATGTGACATGTAATGATAAAAATGCCCCGAATATGCCATTTTACATAATACATTTTTCAACAGTATTGAAAACACAAAATGCAAACACAGGCATCTTTTATTTTTAGTTTACCTTCAGTTTCTCTGAGCCATTTATTTTGCTTGACAGCGGAGTCTATTGAATTATTATTTCCACTGTTGCGATGTTCTGATTAAGCCTTAAGTGTTCTGGAGAAATCGAACAAATAATTTAAACAGACTTGGTGAATATGAAACACACCAAACGCGCATCAAGTTAACCTAATTCTATATATTCTCGATCTCAATAACCATAATAAATACCTCATGACTTGGAGACTTGGTCCCGTGCTCTCCATGTTGAAAATCTCTGCAGTTTTGTAATTTCGATTATTTGATTGGCTGAAATAAACAAGTAGGTCAAACTGCGAGGCTGTGAAGAGGGAGGTGAAGGGCATTTGGGTTTGATGATAACAGCAGGGTGAAGTACCCTAAATCTTTACCAAAATTATTCAAAATGTCTATCATTCAGGTCACAGGCAGTGGTGGAGGTATTGCCTCCGACAGAACATCTTTTGTTGGCGGGAGGACGCCGCAAGACATTGCTGACATGGTGAAGTTGGTGAAGAAAATGGATAAACAAACGTTCAGGAAGCTGCTGCAAAGTGAGTGGCCAAATTGATTTAACTCTGTTTAGTTGTTTTCTCAGACAAACTGTATCTAAAGGGATTGTAAGAACAGGCATTCAGTGGATTTTATATTTCCCTACAGGTTTAAAGCATATTTTAAAGTCTGTTTACAATATAGTAATTATTTACTTCAAGTCGAGTACAATGTTGAATTTTAAGAATTGGCACTGGTGGAAATGTGTATTGTTTGCTATACATGCAGTCAAACTTGTGAATCTATAGAGCTCATTTAAAAAAAACTTTACAGGTAAAACCACAAACTGCAAAGGTTTACCACCTGTATATGCAATGCATTTGTGTATGCAAGTCAGTTAATCACATGTGAAGAGCTTCATGTACCAGCAGTTTGTTTCATAAGCTAAAGCTGTTGTGAAGAATTTTTAACTCTTAGTGTAAAAAAACTCCCTTGAAACATTGTTAAGAAAATTGTGTGCAATGGTAAAACTTTGACTAAAACAACTTCACTTCTGTTTTGTTTGATTTACAGTTGCAATAACTGCATTAGAAGACAAGCCAGTTACACCAGAGATGTTCAAAGTGTTACAAAGTAAAAGTTTATCGGAGGAGATGCTTGCTGTCACTTATAGTGGGTTGTATAGTCTACTAAAAGCAGCTCTGAGATTACCACAGTCTTCCTTAAAACAGGAGGTGAGTGTGACCTTAATCATAATTTGTGTCCACTTTCTTGTGCATGTGCATGTTTTTAAAATTATAATTTTTTCACTACTGATAAACCAATCATGGATCTGTTCTGCAGATTAAATGTGAATCTATTGTGGGCATTAAATTTGACCTTGGATAAATCTATACTTATTCACTAGAATAAAGCAGCTGTATGTTTTAAACAGTAGCCATTTTTACAAAATAGGCCCAAGAACCACAAACAGTCCACTTCTTACAAAACATTGCATTGATGTTAAAATCATCAGCTTTGGAGCTTATGTCGTTTATTGAAACTGTCCCTGAAGTTATGTGGGTTCTTTGTCATTTACAAAGGTTGATAATTGATCCAGTTGTTCAAAACTATATGAATGTGTCAACAAATTTGAAAAATAACTGTACTCTGACTTTTTCAGATTTTTAAAGAAGACTTACAAGAACTGAAGTAAGTCTGAAGATTTTTAAAATAAAATCAGTGAATGAATGAATTCTGGTCAAAATGTCTCTGATCAGCTTTACAAATATTTGTCTTTTAGATGAGTTCTTTGTTGTAATGTTGATTCCTGGGAAGCATCGTATAAAATGGAAACGATTAATATGGCATGTCGAGTGTACAGAGTGATTTTTCCTAGTTACAAATTTTTATATTTTGCGTTTATTTTGGCTGACTTTTTTAAAAGGGTTTTTCATCTTAGTTAAGAACCAATTACACTTTTGTTCTAATGAAAATTCTTTATAGCATTCCAGCAGAATTCATTCCTGACCTTGCAAGTGTAGTATTTGGTTCAAGGTAAGATCACGTATAGTTTCAATTACAGAAGGTGTAGATGTTTATTTTGTTATTATATCTTATAATGAGTCTTTATATAATGCTTATGTTGTGATGTCAGAATAGTTAAAAGTTTTACCTAACTGGATGTTTATATGTCAGTTGAATGATTAAATATAACATATTGTGAACACACACATGCAAACACACAGCCCTTATCCTTTTTTTATTCATGTAGGAGACCAAGGTTGGAACAAGTAATCATGGAATCAAGATCAAGATTACCAAAGTTGGAAAACTTTAAATGGAGAGTTGATGTAGCAATTTCAACAAGGTAAACATCATTTTATGTGCAGTCCTTGTGGTTACTGCACATTTATTGATCACTTGGGCATTGTCTGTTTTGATGCAGCAGATGCCAAAGCTTGAAATGAAACTGGAGATAGACTTGTTTTTTGTTCTCTCAGAAAATTGAATCCAAAGTTTCCAGTTTGGTTTCTAATAACATTCTGGGCCCAAATTTATTAAGGACGTTTAGCACTAACCAGTGGATAAATTCTCCTTACACCCATTAACTAAAAGATGGTTAAATTGTGTTTCATAAACAGTGTTTAAACAGCCAATTAGTTAACTGGCCAGTGTTTAACTGGATAAAATATTTAAAGGTCAGTTAACTAACCAACTGTTTAAACACTGTTTATGAAACACAATTTCATCCGTCGTTTAGTTAATGGGTGTTACGAGAATTTATCCACTGATTACAGTTGAACACTGGTTAGTGCTAAACGTCCTTTATGAAACTGGGCCCTGGAGTTAAATGGAGATCAAATATGAAAGTGGGTCAAAGTAATCAAACATGAAGTTTTTTTTCCCTGTTTTTAAAATTACTTTAAGTACCTTGTCTCAGAAATATCTACAAAATGAATATTTTCCACCAAAATTTCAGTTGTATTTGCTTTTCATGTGGCAGGGGCCATCTGTTCAGTGTGAAATTAGCCCAATTGGATTATAATTTTGGAATTTATACTGCTTCATGTGATTTTAAACAGGCATTTAATTAAATGACAGCCTTACTCTCTGTTTGAAGGTTCACTGTTTTAGAGAACTATTTCTTAGTGTTTAGGCTGAAGTATGTTATTACCTACTGGGTGTTGATTGACCTATAATCTAACAAAGGTGTAATTTTTAATTCTTTCTAGATGTAAGAACATTTGGTAAAAAAATTATTAATATTATATGTTTCAATATTATATGGACTTGGTATAAACATACGTAAATCCTTATCAGCCTCTGACATTTCTTAAAAACATTTTATATATTTGGTATGTATTTACATGTTTTAGTGTGCTGAATAGAGCCTTAGAACCAACTATTACTATGGAGATGACTCTAAGTGATGGAAAAATACAGACATTTGAGGTAAATGAAGAGAAGTTTTTAAAATGCAAAAATAAGAACATTTTTCTCTTTGGAAATACTTATTACATGTAAAATGTATATGAATCATAAACAAGAACATTTCAGAGTTTTTTTCATCAAAATATGATTATTTTTTCAACAAAAAATGAACAAATATGAGTTACAATGAAGTAAATATCACAATTTTTAACTCATTTCAGGTACCCGTCTCCAAATTCCACGAGCTACGCTATAACGTAGCTTACGTACTCAAAGAAATGGAAGATTTGGAAAAGAGGAGTATATTAAAAATACAAGACTAACAGGAACTTTTATATCAGATTTGAGAAGGAAAAATACCTTTGACTTGGTATAAACATACATAAAACTCAAAAAGACGTTAAAGAATATGATTGTCATCGACTTATTACCGATAAATCACAGAGAAAAACTGGGGACTTAAATCATGAATCTACTCACAATGACAGAATATGAATAAATGGTGCAATGACTTGTTTAGTTTTATGAATCTGTTTGGATCTGTTTGGATACATGTTGCTAATTACTACTGGCGCGTGGTCCCAGACGGTCATATGCTAGGGTATACAGTATTTACTATTGGAATGAGATATAAAGTCCAGATAATTATCAATTGGCAGGGGAAATTGTCCGATAATTTTACCTGCATTGATTTAACAATGATTTTAAACGCTGAAAATGAAAGATCATGTGAACCGTAGCTGCAGCCATGAAATAAAAGATTTGGTCATTATTTTCAACCTCCTTATAGGTCGTGCTTTTCCCTGCAGAATGACCGCGACAGTGTGGCGTGACTCGATGTTTCATGATAAGTCCGTCGTGTTGGAGTCCTATGAAATTGTCATTGCTGTAATTAGAAAGGAAATTAATTATTTTGGATCAAAATACTGAATTGTCCTTGTTTTATTTTATTATTTTTTATTTAAAAACAAAAAGTGAAGTTTTATCTAAGAAAAACAGTATGATGCACGACTGTGCATTGATGACCGTGGCAAAAATTACTGTTATTAAAATTTAAGAAATCGATATTATGTTTAACAGATTGATGGTCACCTTATCTTAAGGTGAAGAAATGCAGCGGAAATCCCCTGAGACTACCTTAATCTGTGATACCTGCAAAACTTATCTTACGACGCTTGAGCACGACGGCGCTTTAAGACCGTGACAGCATCAGTTACCGTGACAGGACACAGTTCCGGTGTCAGATTTTTAATTACCCATGTGGGTCTGGTCGTGCCTTCCAAAATTACATCTGTCTAATAATATTCCCCATCACCTTTTATCACTGTAATCAATCTTGACGGAAATTTCGAAGAAAACGGTTGAATCTATGTTGGACTTCTTTGCAATGATGACCATTGGGCTCTAGCGTAAATAGTCGCCGTAACAAAAATGCAGTGATAGGGAATATCAGACGACATAAGCAGTTGGGCTTTAGTACAATCTTACATTATATTACTCTTGCAGTGTCATTTCCATCGCCAGCTGTCCCACAACCTCTCTCTCTCTCTCTCTCTCTCTCTCTCTCTCTCTCTCTGATTAGCAAGATGATATGCTAATTACACTGATGCCCGTCTCGATGGTGTTCCTTGCACATATCTCAGCGGCACTGTTTTGTATTTAATTAATTATTAATCATAACGACAGGCTCAAGAACCGTATCCTGGTCTTTATCTCAACTTACGATCCAAGATGGATCTTAGTCTCAACCCAAGAATGCTGTTTGAGCGGAAGTCGGTTAAATGACCGTGTCGAGCGCTGGGCTCTGTTTAGGTGACTCAAACGGGTCAACCAGGCTGTCAAACTCTTAGACTTCATTCCAATACCTAGATTGATCTAGCAAGATCGACCTATCGCCGAGAGGATTCTCGCTAAATTACATTCAGCTTAAGCGGCTTAGGTGTCTAGTACGCCTACTGAAGCTGCTAAACGATAGTTAATTATCCCCTAACAGCTTCAGTAGGCGTGCCAGGCATCAGAGCTGCCTCAGCTGAGTGCAATTTAGCGAGAAACCACTCGCAGATGGGTCAATCCTGCTAGATCGATCTAGGTATGGGAATGGGGTCTTAAATCATAGTGAGACAGCTGTATCGCTAAGATGTGAAGAAGTCCGACGAACAGACAGGCGTATTTTTTGTATAAGGTACCAATGATTTCGACAATCTCAAGAGCTGTGTTTTAGTTTATACGTCTTACACCTTAGGGCCCATCAAACTCGTGTAAGGTGGGTCCAGGCTTCCGAAAAACAGAGGTCCCCACTTTGGGCGATAGTCGATCGCAAGAGTATGATCCCCCATCAAATCAATAATAATAATATAATGATAAATTCTGATCCAAACCAGATTTTCCCATAGAATAGGATTTCATGTTGCGCATTATGTACAGAATTCTGGTTATCCTTATATATAGATTTTAAATTATAATGAAACATATATAACAAAAATGGAACTAAAATTAAAATTGTCAAAACGTTCTTTGAGTAGGTAGGTTATTTTGGCATTTGGTCTTTGTTCGTATGTAAAAGCAAGAAGTCTACTCAAAATTATTTGTGAACAGAGTAACTAAATACCCTACTGGCTTTCTTCGTCGCAAATGTAGCCACAAAATATGATCCAGGCACTTAGCTATTGAATTCCCCAACATTCATATTCATCCAGTGAACCTTCCCATGCTTACTGAGACCGGGACATTGAAAAGCTCAGAACTTGGTCTAAGAGTAAAGGGTACTGGTTTGGGTTTTTTTTTATAGACCCATTTGACTGACATCATGCATGATAATGAGAACAAAAAAAATGTGCACAGTCATGAGGCCGTTTTAATTAAAAAACTGCACTTAAAAGTGTGTGTACTTTATCTTTATCCATAAGCATGTTTTGCAAATGATGCGAGTTTTTTAAGAGAATAATTGAAATGGGGCAACTTCAAATAATTTTTACAGGGTCAAATTTTTGTTCCTTTCAGCACCTAAAACTGTCTAATAAAAACGGTTGTTTGGAGATGGGTAATTATTGTTGGATTGTTGTATCTATTTATTTTATACATCTATCCAGTTCATGTTCTGCAAATGATTCGAGTTTTTTTAAGAGAATCATTGAAATGGTGCTTTCGTCAGAAATTGAAATACAACTTCAAATAAATTTTATAGGGTCAATTATTTGTTCTTTTTAGCGTATATAACTGTCTAATAAAAACGATTGTTTGGAGATGGGTAATTATTGTTGGACGTACATGTATCTATTTATTTTATACATCTATCCTTTTATTCATCCCACTTTTACTGATTGATTTTTGGCACTTTATTTATTGATCCATTTTTGTGTTTATTTGTAAGAATCATCAGTTTTTAGAACTTTGTGGTTGATGGACAGTGTAATAGATTTTTCAGGTAGTTTATGTGTCTACTACATGTACCTGTTACCAAAAACTAGATCAGCAAATACATTTGTTTTCGTCAGTGCAAATTAGATTGTGTATATGAATGTTTTCAATGAGAAAGAAAACGACTGAGTCATGTTGTTGACGTTCTCAAGAACTGCTTATTACGGCACACCCATTTTGAATTATCAACTGGACTTTTTAGGGATAATATAGTCAGGCTACTGTTTCAGGGTATACGGGTTTTAGTATATTCTAAAACCGATTTCTTTTTCCATACGTATATGCTGTATATCAAAGGCTAATGTATTCATGATATGCTGTTCACTGCTTAAAAGAGCCTCGAGTTCAAACTGAAAGATATTTAAAAACTGTTTTTTTACCTGTATCAACATTAAAACTGCCCATCCCTTTAATGTTCCAAAAATAAAAGTGTTTGGGGCATGCATTTGAATAACAATCTAGAAACGGTTTTTGTCAGCTGGCGGAACAACACAGAAAGATAATTTAATGTTTTAGTGATTACTCCTCTCGGAAGAAGAGCAAATTATTACGGCGTTTTGAAAAACATTTTAACAAAGATTAAATCTTTAGATATATACTGTCCGCTAAGATAAACATATCCCGTGAATTGTAAATTTTTGGAATCAAGTCAAACCACCTATTAGTTTTGTCACTGACCTATGAATAGATGTGATACAGACTTAATTAAATTCCCCAAGTACGGATGACTCGACACATTTGTAATTGCAAAATGTAGCCTCATACAACTTTAAAGAAACAGGCTTTCTGTTCCGCTTTTATTTGCAAGAGCGAACTTCAGTCGTTCAGACTAAAATATCGCAACAACTATTTTTACGATAAAACTCTAGGATTGCTTCATCTTAGGTAGAAAATCGACAGTATGTCGCAGGTCACAGGTCAACTAAAGCGCGTGTGTTTTATTGGCGGGGGTGTCTCCAGGGTGACTTCCATCAAGGCTTGCCTGGAAGAAGGTATGTCCTTGCCCACAGGTCAACATAAACGCGTGTGTATTATTGGCGGAGGTGTCTCCGGGCTGAGTTCCATCAAGGCTTGCCTGGAAGAAGGTTTACGCCCTGTGTGCTTCGAGCAACATGACCATGTCGGTAAGTCAAGAAGAAACTTTTTAAACTCTTTAAATTTCCGAGCATTTTTTATTCTAGCAAAAACATTAAGGAAACAAAAGTAAAGAGTAAAGTGAGTAAAGTAGCGAACAAAAGTTTTACATTCAAATTAATTTCAAATTAGATTATTTTCGGTTGTTTTTTTAAATATATCCTTTGAGATACTTTAACTGCCATAGACATTTCATCATATATCAAAATACTTATGTTTGCGCGCTTTCATTCTCCTTGTCATTTTCAAAGCAAGTTGCTTGTATCGACTTAAATTCTACTGCATATTCATTTGACAACGTCGTGGAAAATGGTTGTGAAATTGATCGTAACGATCAGAACATAATGTTATTGCAAGATGATACTATGGAAAAGCAAATGTTTTTTTTTAAATCACTATTGTAATATAGCAATTTTAACACAATTTTATATAGAGTTCCAAAATAAGTGGATATATATCAATTACCTTTAATTTAATACAAAAAATGGCACAAACAAAAGGGAAAAGATGATAGTGAAATGTGGATCCATAACTGATCTAAAATTACAGCACCATCTTACATTAGTGTCGTATATTTCCAGGCGGACAGTGGCATTTTTCAGAAAACATGGAAACTGGCACAGATTCTCTTTGCAGAATGTTCTCTGCAGTCGTCACAAACACAAGTAAAAAGATGACTGAATTCAGCGACTTTCCAATGCGAAAGGTTTTTTTTCTTTNTGACAATCTCAAGAGCTGTGTTTTAGTTTATACGTCTTACACCTTAGGGCCCATCAAACTCGTGTAAGGTGGGTCCAGGCTTCCGAAAAACAGAGGTCCCCACTTTGGGCGATAGTCGATCGCAAGAGTATGATCCCCCATCAAATCAATAATAATAATATAATGATAAATTCTGATCCAAAACAGATTTTCCCATAGAATAGGATTTCATGTTGCGCATTATGTACAGAATTCTGGTTATCCTTATATATAGATTTTAAATTATAATGAAACATATATAACAAAAATGGAACTAAAATTAAAATTGTCAAAACGTTCTTTGAGTAGGTAGGTTAATTTGGCATTTGGTCTTTGTTCGTATATAAATGCAAGAAGTCTTCTCAAAATTATTGGTGAACAGAGTAACTAAATACCCTGCTGGCTTTCTTCGACACAAATGTAGCCACAAAATATGATCCAGGCACTGAGCTATTCAATTCCCCAACATATATTCATATTCATCCAGTGAACCTTCCCATGCTTACAGACCTGGACATCGAATAGCTCAGAACTTGGTCTAAGAGTAAAGGGTATAATAGGGAAGAAGAAATTAAAGGGTATAATAGGGACGAAGAAATTAAAGGGTATAATAGGGACGAAGAAAGTCAGGGTATGTAGTTACTCCGTGCACATATTACATGTATTTTGAGTGCACTGTAAAAGAGAAAATGTCAGAAGAACCTACCATTTTTCGCCTTGGTAGTCCAACATCCTTGTTTTGGGGAAGGGAGAAGGTCGCATTGGGGTTCCTTAATTTTTTTTCAAGCAGACATACAGAGTTATCTAAGGCGATATTTCTAAAAATCCTTCTACCCTTCCCGTATCCGTGACCGCCCCTCCCCCACCCCCAACTAGCCTGCCAAACGCGCGAGGGCTTTCTAACATTGGAAATGGTACTGGTTTGGGTTTTTTATAGACCCATTTGACTGACATCATGCATGATAATGAGAACCAAAAATGTGCACAGTCATGCAGCCGTTTTTATTTAAAAACTGGACTTAAAAGTGTGTGTACTTTATCTTTATCCATAAGCATGTTCTGCAAATGATTCGAGTTTTTTGAGAGAACCATTGAAATGGTGCTTTGGTCAGAAATTGAAATACAACTTCAAATAAATTTTACAGGGTCAATTATTTGTTCCTTTTAGCTTATATAACTGTCTAATAAAAACGATTGTTTGGAGATGGGTAATTATTGTTGGACGTACATGTATCTATTTATTTTATACATATATCCTTTTATTCATCCCACTTTTACTGATTGAATTTTAGTACTTCATTTTTTGATGCATTTTTGTGTTTATTTGTAAGAATCATCAATTTGTAGAACTTTGTGGTTGATGGATAGTGTAAAGGATTTTTCAGGTCGTTTATGGGTCTACTACATGCCTACCTGTCACCAAAAACTAGATCGGCAAATACATTTGTTTTCGTCAGTGCAAATTAGATTGTGTATATGAATGTTTTCAATGAGAAAGAAAACGACTGAGTCATGTTGTTGACGTTCTCAAGAAGTGCTTATTACGGCATACCCATTTTAAATTATCAACTGGACTTTTTTTAGGGATAATAAAGTCAGGCTACTGTTTCTGGGTATACGGGTTTTAGTATATTCTAAAACCGATTTCTTTTTCCATACGTATATGCTGTATATCAAAGGCTAATGTATTCATGATATGCTGTTCACTGCTTAAAAGAGCCTCGAGTTCAAACTGAAAGATATTTAAAAACTGTTTTTTTACCTGTATCAACATTAAAACTGCCCATCCCTTTAATGTTCCAAAAATAAAAGTGTTTGGGGCATGCATTTGAATAACAATCTAGAAACGGTTTTTGTCAGCTGGCGGAACAACACAGAAAGATAATTTAATGTTTTAGTGATTACTCATCTCGGATGAAGAGCAAATTATTACGGCGTTTTGAAAAACATTTTAACAAAGATTAAATCTTTAGATATATACTGTCCGCTAAGATTAACATATCCCGTGAATTGTAAATTTTTGGAATCAAGTCAAACCACCTATTAGTTTTGTCACTGACCTATGAATAGATGTGATACAGACTTAATTAAATTCCCCAAGTACGGATGACTCGACACATTTGTAATTGCAAAATGTAGCCTCATACAACTTTAAAGAAACAGGCTTTCTGTTCCGCTTTTATTTGCAAGAGCGAACTTCAGTCGTTCAGACTAAAATATCGCAACAACTATTTTTACGATAAAACTCTAGGATTGCTTCATCTTAGGTAGAAAATCGACAGTATGTCGCAGGTCACAGGTCAACTAAAGCGCGTGTGTTTTATTGGCGGGGGTGTCTCCAGGGTGACTTCCATCAAGGCTTGCCTGGAAGAAGGTATGTCCTTGCCCACAGGTCAACATAAACGCGTGTGTATTATTGGTGGAGGTGTCTCCGGGCTGAGTTCCATCAAGGCTTGCCTGGAAGAAGGTTTACGCCCTGTGTGCTTCGAGCAACATGACCATGTCGGTAAGTCAAGAAGAAACTTTTTAAACTCTTTAAATTTCCGAGCATTTTTTATTCTAACAAAAACATTAAGGAAACAAAAGTAAAGAGTAAAGTGAGTAAAGTAGCGAACAAAAGTTTTACATTCAAATTAATTTCAAATTAGATTATTTTCGGTTGTTTTTTTAAATATATCCTTTGAGATACTTTAACTGCCATAGACATTTCATCAAATATCAAAATACTTATGTTTGCGCGCTTTCATTCTCCTTGTCATTTTCAAAGCAAGTTGCTTGTATCGACTTAAATTCTACTGCATATTCATTTGACAACGTCGTGGAAAATGGTTGTGAAATTGATCGTAACGATCAGAACATAATGTTATTGCAAGATGATACTATGGAAAAGCAAATGTTTTTTTTAAATCACTATTGTAATATAGCAATTTTAACACAATTTTATATAGAGTTCCAAAATAAGTGGATATATTTCAATTACCTTTAATTTAATACAAAAAATGGCACAAACAAAAGGGAAAAGATGATAGTGAAATGTGGATCCATAACTGATCTAAAATTACAGCACCATCTTACATTAGTGTCCTATATTTCCAGGCGGACAGTGGCATTTTTCAGAAAACATGGAAACTGGCACAGATTCTCTTTGCAGAATGTTCTCTGCAGTCGTCACAAACACAAGTAAAAAGATGACTGAATTCAGCGACTTTCCAATGCGAAAGGTTTTTTCTTTTTTTATCAACTCTCCCCTGATTCTGTTATTTATAGGGGAAAAATATAACAAAGAAGATTGCCCTGGTTTCACATTTGAAATGAATATAATGTAAATCGTTCACATAAAACGACATACTGTATAACATCCGTTTTTGGTGATCAGAATTTCAAAGAATAACAAGTAATATTACACTAATGCATATTAATGAGAACTCCCAATTTCGGTACTTTTTTTTCAGGATTTCCCCACATTCATCCCTGCCCGCAAAATTAACAGCTATATTCAAGACTATGCGGAACATTTTGATTTGAAAAAATATGTACAGTACGGGATACGGGTAGATGACGTCAGCAAAGCAGACGATTTTTCTCAAAGCGGACAATGGAAGGTTACATATACATATGCAAAAGGTGAACAAGACAATGTCGTCGTGAATTTTTATTGATAATTCAGTTGACTTGAAAATAATGTATAGACGCAGATTTCTTCATGTACTTATATCCTCCCGACTCAGTGTAATTGAAAATTAAAATAGATATGGATCAGTTAAAACAATTCTGGTCTATCAAAAAGTCACAGGCAACAGAGTCTAGCAACTATGCTGCGTATTTTGAGATAGATGCCCATTATATTTTTCCAGAAATAAGCCACCAAAAGACTGAGATATTTGATTGCGTAATGGTGTGCAATGGCATCTTTAATGAGCAGAATTGGCCCCATTATCCTGGATTGGAGATGTTCCAAGGGGAAGTTACACACGGGGGAAACTACTTCCACTGCGACCCATACAAAGATAAGAACGTTTTAGTAGTCGGTAAGCAATCTTTTTTCTCTGCTCCGCAAAGCACATCCTTTTTCTGTCAAGTTCAGGGAATATTTGTTTTTTGTTTTGAAATGATTCTCAAATGATTTCACGTTTTTTTATTCTGCCTTGACAGTGTTAACAGTTTGTTTTCTTCATCTTTTTTTATCGATTTTGTACGATTTTGTTCAGGCAATTGTATCAGTGCAGTCATGTCCCATTGATTTCATTGCAGGCTCTTCTTTTTCTGCAGCAGACATTGCCGTCGATCTAAGTCGCGTGGCTCAAAATGTGCGTATTTACTATATAAAAAATAAAGTTATAAGTGAAGTTCAGCGGTGTTTAAATAGGTTTAAGTTGATGAAGTTTAAAACACATAAATATTTATTCACGTCAACAGTCTCCGCCTACTATTGCGCTGCTAAGTTTCAATGTCTAATTTCTACTTATTCATGCTTTTTCTTATGCCGTAAATGATGAATTCGACAAAGAATAACTTATAGATAGTTAATTATCCATCAAATTATTAGTTAAAATTCATTAAACTCCACATTCAGATAACACATTATATCTAATATTTTCAGACATATATAAGCACCAGACGTGGATTTTGGATAATGCCACGACTTCCAGACGGACAAGAGCCATGGGACATGACGCTTTTCTCTAGACCACTCATTAACTGGCTTCCGTGGGCGTAAGATATCTTTGTTTTATATCTTATATGGATATAGGTATATTTATACTACCGCCTACTCTTATAGGTGTGAAAAACTGATAGCAGATTTGTGAATAAGACACTGACAGACTTATTTGTCTTAAAAATAAATAAATAAATAAATAAATAAATAAAAAGAAAGAAAGAAAATTGCGGAATTTGTTGAACCTGACGATTCTATTTAAATCTGACGATTCTAATCTTTTTATCAGATTGAGGACTCGTGCGTGGGGAAATGTCCTGAAAGAACGGTTCAACTATCAGAAATTTGACCTCAAACCTCACAAAAGGTTTCTCAGTCAATCGCTGTGCATAACAGATGAGCTTCAAAACAAGCTGCTATATGGGCAGGTCCAAGTGAGTAACACATACGATCAAGAAAAATCACATCAACAGGCTGAGTAGCATTTTCATGTACTTGTATCCGTAAGAAGTGAGATTCCCCAATTCCCTAAGTTTTTCTTCTAAAAATCTGCAACGTTTTTTACGTTCAACGTTTTATTTGTCCAATTTAAGGCAAAGCCCTCCATTTCAAAGTTCACTTCAAGTGGGGTGACATTCACAGACGGAACCAGCATAGAAGACTTAGACGCTGTTATATTTGCTACTGGATACAGACTAAAGTGCGCCTTCATTAAAGATAGTCAAGTGCTTCCAGGTAAAACTGCTCGAGATATGTAATTTGCATATAATACCTCTGAAAGTTGCTGAGAGAACAAAATACCCTTATCTTTTAAAATTAATCAAAATAATTATGATTGAATCCCATTATCATTTAAGGCAGACAGACAGACAGACAGAAAGATTCACTCTTACACAAATTCCCTTTATCTATCATTATATTTATCTTCTTTTTCCAGAAAATTCAGCAGAAATGGAGATGTACAAACATATTTTCCCCGTAAACATCAAACATCAAACCCTTGTGTGCATCAACTATCTACGGGTGTTAGGCTCCGTTCTTCCCACGTCCGAACTTCAAGCACGTGTCGCCGCTCGCGTGTTTTCTGGGAACTTAAAGCTCCCAAGAGCATCCCACATGAAACGAGACGTAGCGGAGAAGAAATCTGAGATAATAAACCAGTGGGGGAATTGCACCGTACCAAAGGTAACCCAGCCATTATTCTTTTTTCATTTTTAAAACAAACAATAAAAAGACAACTTGCCGATTAATTGGGTCAAAATCTTTAATTTGGAAATTATGCACGTATCAGTAATCTTTATTCATTCACATGATGCATGGTACAGTAAAAGATCTTACAGATTTTTCAAAATTATTTAATATAAAACCCGATATATAGAAACAAACTTCTGCCTCAGTCAAAAATAACGCTATAGTAAATTCAAAGATAAAACTATGCTAAAAAGTATGTCCCGTTTTTTTCTAGGAATTTGTGTATTTCTACTATGAGGAATTGGCGCAGTTATTAGGAGTCAAGCCCCAAACGTGGAAGCTTCTTGTCACAAATCCAAGTTTGGTAAAAAAACTCATGTTTGGTCCAGTGACGCCTGCGCAATACCGCCTCCATGGACCCCACGCCAATTTTGACGTCGCGGCACAATCTATTTTAGACACATAAATTATAATGTTGGTGTTGTCTTTGAAATTTGGACTTACATCAGATGAATGTATTTCATGTGTCATTCCTAAACCTATAAGCAAGCATGTATGTAGTTCGTGTTTGTGATTGTTACTTGAATATACAGGAATGCTACAGTTGAGTTTGGCGTTTGCATCTTGCCGATTGTGGTGACTGTATATTTGATCCATATCATCTACTACTAAAGGAATCAAGAATTTCAGACTAACCGCTAGATGAAGTACAGCGACGCTAAAATCGAGCATTTAGGGCCTTTTTATGTAGATGTCTACCTCACAGAAGAGGTGCATCAATTATTTTTTATCCAAGTTTTTTATATGTTGCAGTTATTTGCCCACTAATTAAAGAAACATACTTTCTAGACTGCTAGATCGAAGCCAGTCTAGAAAATGTGATTCATTGGCAATACATATGTACAAGATCGACGTTTTAGACTAAAATTTAACTATAGTATCAATTGCGCATCACGATGAAAAGGACACAATGATTAGGAAGAGTCACGATTCTCGTTTTTAAATTTTGCTAAAACTACAATAATAATTCAAAATATTTTTACACGAAGATTGATATTCAGACATTATTATAATCAAAATACATAATCAGGAATTTTGTTTGACCTGTGATTCGTGTCAATACGATATAGGGTCGTTTAAAATGTGTCTGTTTATATGTCAGTGTCTCAGTATACACTTTGCCATATCACGTAAAAATGATGAGTGATCTGGAATGGATTCCAAGAATTTTTCGTCAATTTTCTATTTTTCATGATGTGCAGACTAAGAGTGAGTCAGCATAACCTGTGGTTACAGGTATATACTCACTGAACCACATACTCTCATACTGCTGGGTCGGGGGCAGGGCCTCTTCAATGGAAGGGGAAGATTTATACATATAAATACCAAAATGTAACATTTAAGTAAATTGATTACATTTTTATGCAGATCTATACCTAAAGATGATGGTTGGGACAATTTGTATTTTAAATATTAATTTGTATCACAATTTACGTACATAGCGTGTTACTTAAATTAAACGGATGTTGTAATAAAATAAAAATAAAAATGTGTATCGTCTTCAATTCTCAAGAATATTCCGCTAAAACTAGTGCAAAAAGTAAGAACCCTGGAATTCTTATGTGCACTGCAATTCTGAATTTTGTTATTCAGACCGACACTAGGGCTAGCTTAATCCAAGACTGCATCCTTACACCTGTTCAGTTTAACTGTCTTCTCTCCACTCAAGGCTAATGTGAAATAGGCCCCCTAAATGTATGTGGTTTTCCTTGCACATATCTGCTTTGTATTTAATTAATTATCAATCATAACGACACGTTCAAGAACCGTGTCCTGGTCTTTATCTCAACCAAGGAGTTATAACAGAGTTATAACTCCTTGTCTCAACTTTGGATCCAAGATGGCTCTTAGTCTCAACCCAAAAATGCTGTTTAAGCGAAAGTTGGTTAAATGACCGTGTCGAGCGCTGGGCTCTGTTTAGGTGACTCAAACGGGTCAACCAGGCTGTCAAACTCTTAGACTTCATTCCCATACCTAGATTGATCTAGCAAGATCGACCTATCGCCGAGAGGATTCTCGCTAAATTACATTCAGCTTAAGCGGCTTAGGTGTCTAGTAAGCCTACTGAAGCTGCTAAACGATAGTTAAGTATCCCCTAACAGCTTCAATAGGCGTGCCAGGCATCAGAGCTGCCTCAGCTGAGTGCAATTTAGCGAGAAACCACTCGCAGATGGGTCAATCCTGCTAGATCGATCTAGGTATGGGAATGAGGTCTTAAATCATAGTGAGACAGCTGTATCGCTAAGATGTGAAGAAGTCCGACGAACAGACAGGCGTATTTTTTGTATAAGGTACCAATGATTTCGACAATCTCAAGAGCTGTGTTTTAGTTGTTACGTCTTACACCTTAGGGTCCCTCAAACTCGTGTCAGGTGGGTCCAGGCTTCCGAAAAACAGACGTCCCCACTATGGGCGATAGGTGAACGCAAGTTTGATCCCCCATCAAATCAATAATAATAATATAATGATAAATTCTGATCCAAACCAGATTTTCCCATAGAATAGGATTTCATGTTGCGCATTATGTACAGAATTCTGGTTATCATTATATATAGATTTTAAATTATAATGAAACATATATAACAAAAATGGAACTAAAATTAAAATTGTCAAAACGTTTGAGTAGGAAGGTTATTTTGGCATTTGGTCTTTGTTCGTATGTAAAGGCAAGAAGTCTACTCAAAATTATTTGTGAACAGAGTAACTAAATACCCTGCTGGCTTTCTTCGTCACAAATGTAGCCACAAAATATGATCCAGGCACTGAGCTACTGAGCTATTGAATTCCCCAACATTCATATTCATCCAGTGAACCTTCCCATGCTTACTGAGACCGGGACATTGAATAGCTCAGAACTTGGTAAGAGTAAAGGGTATAATAGGGACGAAGAAATTTAAGGGTATAATAGGGACGAAGAAATTAAAGGGTATAATAAGGACGAAGAAAGTCAGGGTATGTAGTTACTCCGTGCACATATTACATGTATTTTGAGTGCACTTAGTGTAAAAGAGAGAAAATGTCAGAAGAACCTACGATTTTTCGCCTTGGTAGTCCAACATCCTTGTTTTGGGGAAGGGAGAAGGTCGCATTTAGGGGTTTTATTAATTTTTTATTGCAAGCAGACAGAGAGAGTTATCTAAGGCGATATTTCTAAAAATTTTTCTACCCCTCCAGTATCCGTGACCGCCCCTCCCCCACCACCACATGACCTCCCAAACGCGCGAGAGCTTGGAAATGGTACTGGTTTTGGTTTTTTTATAGACCCATTTGACTGACATCATGCATGATAATGAGAACAAAAATGTGCACAGTCATGCAGCGGTTTTAATTTAAAAACTGGACTTAAAAGTGTGTGTACTTAATCTTTATCTATAAGCATGTTTTGCAAATGATGCGGATTTTTTAAGAGAATAATTGAAATGGGGCAACTTCAAATAATTTTTACAGGGTCAAATTTTTGTTCCTTTCAGCACTTAAAACTGTCTAATAAAAACGGTTGTTTGGAGATGGGTAATTAATGTTGGATTGTTGTATCTATTTATTTTATACATCTATCCAGTAATTCATCGCACTTTTACTGATTGATTTTTAGCACTTTATTTATTGGTCCATTTTTGAGTTTATTTGTAAGAATCATCAGTTTTTAGAACTTTGTGGTTGATGGACAGTGTAATGGATTTTTCAGGTAGTTTATGTGTCTACTACATGCCTACCTGTCACCAAAAACTAGATCAGCAAATACATTTGTTTTCGTCAGTGCAAATTAGATTGTGAAAAAGAAAACGACTGAGTCATGTTGTTGACGTTCTCAAGAACTGCTTATTACGGCACACCCATTTAAAATTATCAACTGGACTTTTTTAGGGATAATATAGTCAGGCCACTGTTTCCGGGTATACGAGGTTTTAGTATATTCTAAAACCAATTTCTTTTTTCCATACTCACATGCTGTATATCAAAGGCTCACAGACATATTTTGTATTGTACTGTAAAACATCGATTTTGGCGACTGATTAAAACGTTTAAACGCTTTTAAATGGCGCTTAAATTACGTTGCAAAAAGCGAACTCGGATGTTATAGTTTTCAAGTCACAACGACTTTGGGTTATTTGTGCCCCCACCCCGAACATAAGCCCTGTCTTATTAATTTTATTATTTAGTTTTATATATATATATTATTGTTTTGCAAAGGCGTCTGTATATTATGTGTTTGATTTACGTATTTCATTACATTCTTAATTTATTCATGATATGCTGTTCATTGCTTAAAAGTGCCTCGGTTCGCTTTAACGCGTTCAAATCGAAAGATATTTAAAAACTGTTTTTTTTTTACCTCTATCAACCTTAAAACTGCCCATCCTTTTAATGTTCCACAAATAAAAGTGTTTGTGGCTTACATTTGAATAGCAATCTCGAAACGGTTTTTGACAGCTGGCGGAACTACACAGAAAGATAAATTAATGTATTAGTGAATAATCCTCCCGGAAGAAGAGCGAAATATTACGGTGTTTTGAAAATATTTAAACAAAGATTAGATCTTTAGATGTATACTGTCGGCTTAGATTAACATATCCCGTGAATTGCATTTTTTTAAAATCATGTCAAACCACCTATTAGTTTTGTCACTGGGCTATAAATAGATCATACAGACTTAATTAAATTCCTGAAGTACTGATGACTCGACACATTTGTACTTGCAAAACGTAGCCTTATGCAACTTTAAAGAAACTTTCCGTTCCGCCTTCATTTGCAAAAGGGAACTTCAGTCGTTCAGACTGAAATATTGCAACAACACTTTTTATGATAAAACTCGAGGACCGCTTCATCTTCAGTAGAAAATTGACAGTATGTCCTCGCCCACAGGTCAACATAAACGCGTGTGTATTATTGGCGGAGGTGTCTCCGGGCTGACTTCCATCAAGTCTTGCCTGGAAGAAGGTTTACGCCCTGTTTGCTTCGAGCAACATGACCATGTAGGTAAGTCAAGAAGAAACTTTTTAAACTCTTTAAATTTCCGAGCATTTCTTATTCTGACAAAAACATTAAGGAAATGGAAATAAAGAATAAAGTAAGTAAAGTAGCGAACAAAAGTTTTAGGCCCTACATCCTAATTAATTTCAAAATAGATTGTTTTCGGTAGTATTTTAAATAGATAAAGAGATACTTTAACTGCCATAGACATTTCATCAAAAATCAAAATACTTATGTTTGCGCGCTTTCATTCTCCTCGTCATTTTCAAAGCAAGTTGCTTGTATCGACGTAAATTCTACTGTATATTCATTTGACAACGTTGTGGAAGATGGTTGTGAAATTGATCGTAACGATCAGAACATAATGTTATTGCAAGATGATACTATGGAAAAGCAAATGTTTTTTTAAAATCACTACTGTAATATAGCAATTTTAACACAATTTATAGAGTTCCAAAATAAGTGGATATATTTTTATTACCTTTAATTTAATTTTAAAAAACAACAAAATGGCACAAATAAAAGGGAAAAGATGATAGTGAAATGTGGATCCATAACTGATCTTAATATACAGGGCGCCATCTTACATTTAATTATTGTCGTATATTTCTAGGCGGACAGTGGCATTTTTCAGAAAATATGGAAACTGGCAGAAATGATTCTCTTTGCAGAATGTTCTCTGCAGTCGTTACAAACACGAGTAAAAAGATGACTGAATTCAGTGACTTTCCAATGCCAAAGGTTGTTTTTCTTTCTTTATCAACTCTCCCTTTCTATGATTCTGTTATTTATAGGGAAATATGTAACAAAGATTTCCCTGGTTTCACATTTGAAATGAATATAATGTAAATCGTTCACATAAAACGACATACTGTATAACATCCATTTTTGGTCATCAGAATTTCAAAGAATAACAAGTAATATTACACTAATGCATATTAATGAGAACTCCCAATTTCGGTACTTTTTTTTCAGGATTTCCCCACATTCATTCCTGCCCGCAAAATTACCAGCTATATTCAAGACTATGCGGAACATTTTGATTTGAAGAAATATGTCCAATACGGGATGAGGGTAGATGACGTCAGCAAAGCAGACGATTTTTCTCAAAGCGGACAGTGGAAGGTTACATATACACATGTAAAAGGTGAACAAGACAATGTTGGCGTGAATTTATATTGATGATTCAGTTGGTTTGAAAATAATGTATAGACCCAGATTTAATCTTTATGTACTTGTATCCTCGCGACTTAGTGTAATTGAAAATTAAAATAGATATGGACCAGTTAAAACAATTCCCTGCATCGTCAAAAATATTTTAAAATTATGTAAAAGTCGCCGGCAATAGTCTAACATCTATGCTGCGTATTTTGAGATAGATACCCATTATTTTTTTTTTTCAGAAATAAGCCACCAAAAGACTGAGATATTTGATTGTGTTATGGTGTGCAATGGCATCTTTAATGAGCAGAATCGGCCCCATTATCCTGGATTAGAGATGTTCCAAGGGGAAGTTACACACGGGGGAAACTACTTCCACTGCGACCCATACAAAGATAAGAATGTTTTAGTAGTCGGTAAGCAATCTTTTTTTCTCTGCTCCGCAAAATACATCCTTTTTCTGTCAAGTTCAGGGAATATTTGTTAGTGATTTTCAAACAATTTCTGGTTTTTTACTACTTTGACCATGGGCGGTGTTAACAGTTTGTTTTCTTTTTTCCTTTTTCTTTCTTTCTTTCTTTTTTTTCTTTTTT